TTGGCCGCATCGGAGCATGTAGTGAATTCTTCTCTCTTTATCGCCTCTAAATGTGTTCGTTTGTTGCTATTTGATTCATACTGGACTTTGAAATCTTTGTTGTTCCTGATGTTCATATAGGTGGTCGAAATTGTGGATCGCTATGATGACAGTTGTGTTCCTTCTGATTATTCCAATAATAAGCTTAAGTTTATCCAAAGCGCTGATACTGACAAGTCTTGCGTTAGGATTTTGCCAGTTAGTCCAATGCTTTCTCTGTATTCTACTCTTTTTATTTATGGTTTTTTCAAGGAATTTCTGTCTCATGTCTATTTTACGTATTCCTCAACATTTTATCATATTAACATGTCGGTTCCGCTAACGAGCATTAAGCTATACTTTTTCTTCTTTTCTTCCTCCTTTTTCCAGGTTCCTAAGCTGATGAAAAAGCCTATTTATATCTATTATCAGCTTGATAACTACTACCAAAACCATCGCCGGTGTGTGAAATCATATTCGAATACCGTGTTTAAGTTTACATGAATTATTTAACTGTTTCATGAAAGATTTAGTAGTATTTCTTATGCATTTCCTTCTATGGTGCTTGATGTAGATAACCTTTCAATACTTTTAGTTTTCATCTTTCAAATTATTTATAAATTTGAAAAAAATGGTTGCAGTTACGTAAACAGTAGGAGTGATAAACAATTGAGGAGAAAGTCAGCTGCCAATGACGTGAGTGATTGTACCCCTGAAGACAAAACGAAGGACGGTCCAATCATTCCTTGTGGCCTGGTTGCATGGAGTTTGTTCAACGATACATATTGGTTTTCACTGGATAATAAGGCGATACAAGTAAACAAACACGACATAGCGTGGAAGAGCGACAAAGATCATAAATTTGGAAAGGATGTATATCCTAAAAATTTCCAGACCGGAGGGTTGATCGGAGGTGCAAAACTGAACTCCTCCTTACCTGTAAGTATATAAAGCGAATGCTTGTTGTGTTCATGTTTGGTTCGGAGGGAGAAGAGATAGAATGTGTGTTTTGTGGATGCAGTTAAGTAAACAAGAGGATCTGATGGTATGGATGCGGACAGCGGCTCTGCCGGCTTTCAGGAAACTGTACGGGAAGATAGAGGAGGACCTACCGGCGAACAAGAAAATACAGGTCGAAATTCAAAACAATTACAACACCTACAGTTTTGGGGGGAAGAAGATGTTGGTACTTTCAACCACAAGCTGGATAGGTGGGAAAAATGATTTTCTGGGAATTGCATATATCATTGTAGGAGGGCTATGCTTGTTTTTGGCTGTCTTCTTCATACTTCTTTATGTTATCAAGCCAAGGCAAGTTTCTTTTTCTTTACATACGTGCATACATATATCATTGTAGTAAGTCTATGCTTGTTTTTGACAGTCTTATTCATACTTCTTTATGTTATCAAACCAAAGCAAGTTTTTTACATACATACACGCATGCATGCATACATGTATCATTTTAGGAGGGATATGCTTGTTTTTGGCAGTCTTCTTCATACTTCTTTATGTTATCAAGCCAAGGCAAGTTTCTTTTTCTTACATGCATACATACATACATACATACATACATACATACATATATGCATTCTAAATAAATAAATAATTTGTGTGTTGAATAATTGGCAGACCTCTTGGTGATCCATCCTACTTGTCTTGGAACAGAACTCCATGTGGTCAGCCAAATTAGGATCATATGTTCATATTAACTTACTGCTCTTGTTTTCCAATGACAAGGAAATTCTTAACATTAATTTCTTTTCCTATTTTTCTGTTTCCTATTCATAATTTTATTAATTGTTTGAGCTACAAATATGTAAAATTGAGGGATTAATATTTGATTTTTTCTCCATGTTCTATTTTCTATGATTTACAATGAATATATCGCATGTTTTATGATGTTAAACAACATTAAGTGAAGTCTATGCATCAATTTTAAACTTTTTCATGGTTTTTTTTTTTGTATTTCTAAGGTTTATAGACATAAATAATATTAATATTAAACTAAAAAAAATGATAAACCCTAAAAATAAAAACATTCATTAAAATCCTCAAATTTATTTTAAAAAATTTACTTTCCACCTCTTTTTGAGGTTTTCAAGTATTGTAATAAGTTTTTGAAGTTTATTTTAATAAATAAATGTTATCTTATCAGTTGATGTGATATTAAATTTAATCATAGAGAAAATTAACCAAAAAGAGAGATTAAGATTAACGACAAAAGGCATGAAAAAGTGTATCATAAAAACTGAGTTATTGAAAACTTAAACCAAGTAAAGTTGTGATATATAAAAATAAAGGAAAAACAAAAATGCCGACGATGAACATCAACATTAATGCGGTCGCAATACATACCAACCAAAGAAATAAAGAAAAATAAGTGGCTAAATTTTTTTACAGTTTAGAGAAAAAATATTTTTTAATTAAAAATAATAGACAAAATAACTCATCGAGATTTATATCCATTTAAATCTTTATATATATAGATATGTAATAAAGATTTTTTTATCTTTTCATAATTTTATACAATATTTAATTAAAATAATTTTATATAATCTAAATTAGTCGACCGATAGATTGGATACCGATGATTATACCTAAAACAATTATACGATATTTAATTAAAATAATTAATGAATCTAGATACAAACTATTTATCAATCAACCTATAATTGTTTGTTGAATTTTTTTATAAAAAATATATTCATTCGTCCAAAATATGTAATAAAATTTAGTATACACTATCTTATTTTAAATAATTAAATCATAATTATGATTTTTAAAATCTAATGATAAAATATTAAACACTTTAAAGTATATAAAAATTTTAAAAAATAACTTAAAATATTGAGTTTAAAATTTGAAATCAAATAAATAATTAAAATAATTTGATTGGATTAATTTAAAAATCAAGTATACCTTTTAAAATTAAATAGACTATTATTCACCATTAAATTATAATAAATTCAAAAATTAAGATTAGAAAATTTTTACACTTCAACAACTCTCATTAAGATTTAAATTAAAAAAACCCTTAAAATAAAAAAAATTACACCGTTCAAAATCACTGTCACAATATCTCAAATCCTACAATAATATAATAGGAAGTAAAACTTAATCATAATATTTTTTTACTAAAACATTAAAAAACACAAAATATCGACTTTGTTTCCTAATTTCAAATAAAATAAAATAGCAATTGAATTATGAGTAAATTACTCCAATGGTCACTAATGTTTGGGTAATTTTAGTTTTCCCCACTGCTGTTTCAAAATTCACAAATCGATCACTAACGTTATCGTTTGTTACAAATTGGTCACTCGCCGTTAACAGGCGTGACAGAAAACACACGTGGATTGTTAAAACGGTTAGCAGGCTTACCTGGATGGTAAAATTACACAAATAGTATATGTTATTTATATATTCTTTCAATTTGATCCTAATTTTAATAAATTAAAATAAATTTACCTACGAATCAAGATGTGTTATGTGTCATTGGTTACACATCTGTCATGACACATGTTATCATTTGATTGGAAGACTAAATTTATTTTAATTCATTTTTAATTTAATATATTTATTTCTACCAATCAGAGAGTGACAATCAAAGGGTGACATGTGTCATCCTCTGGTTGGAAGAAAATAAAGCAACAAAGAAGCAAGTGAGGGATTCAAACATAGGGCCGTTAAGTGAAGTAATGCAAGCCAGATCATTGAGCCAAATCAATCATTTGATAAATTTTGGACAACAAATGCTATATATATTGTATTTTAGTACGTAAATGTTTTATTCAAAATTAATAATATGTTATATATCTTAAGATTTAAAATTATCTCTTTATTTTTGTTTTAACTTATTAAATATTTTTATTTTTGTCTTAATTTATTAAATATATTTTGTTTTTATTTTAATGTAAAATTATATATTTTATCTTTATAATTACTTAAATATATATATATATATATATATATTTAAATATCTTAACTTGAAATATATTTAAATATTTTATTATTAATTTAATATAAAAATATATATTTTACTCTTATTTTAAATTAAAAATATATAATATTTTATTCTTATCTTTACTTAAAAATAATTGAATTCTTATTTTAAATTAAAAATATAATTTATTATTATCTTAACTTTTAAAAATATATTAAAAAATTATATATTTTTTAAATAAAAAATAAAAATAAAAAATATATTTTATATTAAATTAATAGTAAAATATTTAAATATATTTCAAGTTAAGATATTTAAAAATTATATTTTTAAGTGATGATAAAGATAATATATATTTTTATATAAAAATAAAAATAAAATATATTTAATAAATTAAGAAAAAAAAAAAAAATATTTAATAAGTTAAAACAAAAATAAAGAAATAATTTTAAAATTTAAGATATACAACATATTATTAATTTTGAGTAAATCATTTACATACTAAGATAAATATATATATCATTTGTTGTCCTAATTATATTAAATGGTTGCCTTGGCTTAATGATTTGGTTTGCATTATTTCATTCAAGGGTCCTATGTTTAAATCCTTCCACTTGCTTTTTTATTGCTTTATTTTCTTCCAACCAGTTACCCTCTTATTGGTAAAAATAAATATATTAAATTAAAAATAAATTAAAATAAATTTAGTATTCTAATTAAATAATAATATCTGTCATGACATGTTTATAACCAATTACTTTCAGGATCAAATTGAAAAAAAATATGAATTACATGGACTATTTATGTAATTATATCATCCAACTAAGCCTGTTAATGGCTTTTAACAGTCCACGTATGTTTTTCAGTCACGTCTGTTAATGGCGAGTGACCAATTTATAACGAACAATAATATTATTGGCTGATTTATGACTTTTAAAACATCAGTAGTGATAATGTAAACTTATCCAATCATTAATGACCATTGGAGTTGTGTACCCTTGAATTATTTATTTATCTATTTGTAATAAAAATTAATTCTACTATTTCGCTTTTCTCTTCGTCGATCTTCTACCTCCTTTTTCTCATCTCCTTCTCTTTTTCTGTTGCCATCGTGTTGGCTCGTGTCGATTCCCCCTTCGCACGTGCGATTCAGGCTGTGTTTCGCCGACCCATTTCTGTTTCGCCGGTTTCGTTTTCCGATCATTTCGCCGTCGGGATTTGTCTTTCTTACCATTGGATTTCTCGAAGCTCCGATCTCCAGTGTCTTCTGCTTTCGAATTCGCATTTTCCCCAGGTTCTTTTTTAGGGTTTTTATTTTCTTCTTGATCGTTTAAGGAAAATAATGTTTTTTTATTGTTAAACTAGGGTTTGTTATTGTTTAGTGTTTAATTTCACTAATTGGACCGTGTTTATATTGGGATCCCAAATTGGAGGTTTTCTTCTTTCATCGACCGAAATTCCCCCAATAATTTAATCCATTTTGGAAAATTTCAGTTTCAAATATTGCTTAACAACGTGAAAATTTTGAATTTGAGATTGAAGTACTGAAATTTGAGTTAATTTATTCAATTTCCCAAATATCTATAAGCGTAGTGCATGAAATGCAGAAATGCAATGAAAGCAGTGCATTTGAAGTGACAACTAAAGGAGGGAAAAAGGAAGGAAGCATGAGAGTAGTCGATTTTGTGATTGTAAAGCCGGAGTGTTGAATAAGTTATGCTGCTTGTGCTGGTTGTGATAGTTACTGAGACGAGACAAAAGGGAAGTAGGAATAAGGATAGAAATGAATGTTCAGGCGCATATGAGTGGACATATATCAAGACAGGTAGCTAACCAAGGGGGATTACCTCAACAAAATGGGAACCTTCTTCAGCCTGCCCAGATGCAGAATTCAGGTGTTGCTGGAGGTGTGACTGCTGCTGGAGTTGTCGGTGCTGGAGGTCCTCCGCATAATATGTTAAATATGGACCCTGACCTACTCAGGACACGCGAATATATGCGAGGAAAGATGTAAGATCTTATATTAAAAGTAGCATTGTTTAAAGATGCATGTTTAGGTGTTGCTGAATGTATGAAATGTTTGTATCTATGATTGATTTTAGCTTAAATTAGGGAGAAATTTGAAATAAAAGCTGCATTTAACTTTGAGTTTTTTCTGTCTGAATGCTATTTGATAGAAGCTTGTTATTATTTTTGTTTTATTGTTTTTTTTGGTCCAAGTGTGAAGCATGTTCGTTAATGCATGTGCTTCTGGATGCTCAATTGTATGCTAGTAACATTCTTTTGTTATAGATTTTTTTTTTTGGTTTTAAACATCTATAAATTACCCCCTTCGGTTGAGATAATATTTATATGTTCCTCTACTTGCACAAAATGTGCATAGAAGTTGGCATCGAAAACTTGTAAAATTATTGTTGGATTGAAGTGTCTATATTTCACTTGAAGTCAGTGATCTATGTTATATTAAGTGTAATTGCTAGGATTTTAGTGCAAAGGAAACAATGAAAAAGATATTTGCATATAAATACTTATGTGTCTGTTTGTGCAGGATTTTACGAGCCTGCAGATAATGTTAACTCTTCATGAGATTTACATTGACGTATGCATCATTGAAAGATTGTTTCAACAAACTTATGTGGCCTATGTCTAGTGCAATTAGGAAGGCTTTTGGTTCAAGTTGAAATACAACTAGGATTTATAATTTTTTTTACCACTGATAATCACAGCTGTCTGTTTGTATGATATTTGTTTTTGTTTCTCTACTTCTACAGATATGTGCATAGGGTTTAGCATATAAAAGTGACTTGGCCGCAAAATCACTGTAGGACTTAGATGTCTATATTCCATTCAAGCTCAAGTTTGTGCATTCCTTATTACATTAGACACTGGCCATTTAAATTTGTGGATTCTTTTAAGAATCCATGTATGTGGGAGATGTATGTTGGAGATGTATGTGATGATCCTTGTAATAATTTGTTATGGAGATGTATATTTAAATCATGTGCCGTGGAAATTTATTTTCCTGTCATTAATTTCATATAATCATTATTTCTATATAGCTTTGATGAGACATCAACGAGATTAGGCATTTCCATCTTAGAACTTCTTTTCATAATATAATGAAACCTAGTGTACATTAAAAAAAAACTAATGCAGCTTTTAATCTCTTCTCAGCATTGATGTCTTAAAATTGCGGAACCAGCATCCTATGACTGAGGCATCAATGATAAAGTATCGGGATTTTGCAAGACGATTGGAAGAAGGTCTATTTAAGATTGCTCATACAAAGGTTAGTTATTTTGTTAAATTACTATGTTCGCAAATCTATTTATTGGCTGATGTTTCTGTGCATTTATTTGTATATTTTTCACCTTTTTCCCTATGTACTGTAGAAGCACATTTCTTTTGCTTTCTTCTTATCACTTTTAATTCTTTGTGCTAGAACTTTCATTTATTTCCCTTGGTATTTAATCCTTGAAATTCGTTTTCTAGGAGGACTATACAAATTTGAGTACTCTAGAGCACCGTTTACATATTCTATTAAGGGGGAGCCGAAATATGCACAACCAAAGACATCCACAGCTTGTTAATTCGGCATCAGCACCAGCTAGTACTATGATTCCTACCCCCGGTATATCACACAGTGGCGATCCTAGCATTGTGGTTTCATCTTCTATAGATAAATCTACGAGTGCTACCAATGCAAGCATAGCTCCTACAAATATCAATACAGGGGGCTTGTTGCCTACTAGTGGCATGCTTAGTGCTTCCTTCACTGGATCTGAAGGTAAATTTGAGCTTCACAATCTTTTTTTAATATAATTTAAATTGCATTTTATACCAAAAGTAACAAAATGGTACTTCTATAGGAAATATATCTAATAGGCATCAACAGTCACCTGCCAATTTTCCTCTTGCTTCTGGTGGAATGTCATCAATTGGTGTGCAAAGAATGACGAGCCAAATGATTCCCACTCCTGGATTTAATAGTTTTAACAATAGCAGTAGCAGTAATAATCACTCTTCCAATAATGTTGGACTTTCAACAGTTGAATCAACAATGGTATCGCAACCACAGCACCAAAAGCCACATGGTGGTCAAAACAGTCGTATTTTGCACACCCTTGGAAGCCAAATGGGTAGTGACATCAGGTCAGGCTTGCATCAGAAAGCTTTTGGATTACTTAATGGGTCCCTAGATGGTGCATTGGGTATGGTGAGCAATAATATGAATATTGTTAGTGAACCTGGGGCATCTGTGGGATATCAGACTACCGCACCTTTGCAACAAAAAATTGATCAGCATCAGCTTCCCGTAATGCAAGGTAACATCCTGGTTTCATTTGTCTTTCTCTATTTCTATTTGATTTAGTAATAGTGAATCTTAATAATTATTATTGAGATGTATGAGTTGTCTCAAGAAAGCAATTCTCTGTATCAGCTGATAGATATTGGCTGACCAATGCTGATTCTTTTGGGTCTGGAAACTTGTACGGTGCTGCAACATCTGTTGGATCAGTGACACACACTCAGAATTTGAGTCCTGTTAATTTACAGTCTATATCCAGAACGAACTCTTCTTTAACAAGTAGTCAATCAAATTTACATGCCGTGCAATCTGCTGGCCTTATGAAGCTCCAGTCCGTGGATCAGTTTGAAAAGATGAATTTGCAACCTGCTTTAACTTCAAGAGATGATATTCTTCAAGTTAATCAACAGCAACGATACCAGCACCAGTCTCTTCAGTTCCAACAACAGCAACGCCAACAGAAGCAGCAAAATCAGCAGCACCAAAATCTGCTGGGAAATAGTGGTTATAGTCAGTCTCCATTGGCCTCTGATATAGGTAATCAAGTAAAGTGTGAACCTGGACTACAACACTATGGTGAGGTACTATGTCAACAAGCCCCTGAACAATTTCAGCGCCATGAGTTTCAGAATCAGTTTCTGCAGAACAATGGTGCAGAGCTCCCTAGGCAGCAGGGTATGTTCTCATCACTGGCACAAAATTCCCAACAAATGCAACAGATGTTGCAGGAAGACCAATTGATTCCAGAGCCTCGAAATGATTATAAACTTTCAGTTGGTGCACAGTTGGAATCATCCGTGCATAGCCAGTGGCACCCTCACTCGCAAGATTGGGCTCAAATTCCAGGGAACCTATCACATGAGCAGCCTTTCCAAGAAGATTTCTGCCAGAGGACATCTGGGCAGGATGAAGCTCAGTGTCACAATTTATCTGCAGATGGATCCACCATCAGTCCAATGGTTGTTGCTAGAAGCTCATCAGACCCTTTAAATTCTAGGGGCAGCATCTCCAAATCTGAAAATGGGAGCCATGGTCAGCAGTTTAGAAATCAAGTGAAGTGGCTTTTGTTTCTACGCCATGCTCGTAGTTGTAAAGCCTCTGAGGGTAGGTGTAATGCTTATTGTTTCACGGCGCGAAAGTTGTTGAGTCATATGGATAAATGTGAATCATCTAAATGCTCACATCCACGATGCTACCCCTCTAAGATATTGATTCGTCACTACAAGACTTGTGCGAATTCAACATGCCCTGTTTGTGTTCCTGTAAAAAATTATCTACAGGCTCAGATGGCACGAGCCTGTCAAAACTCTGCTTCTGTTTTGCCATTGTCTGATTGTGGATCTGCTAAAACAAATGATGCTGGAGACATTTCAGTTAGAATGACTTCTACAACTGTGTCAAATGATACTTCCGTAGGCATACAACCTTTACAAAAACGCATGAAGATAGAGCAGTCTTCTCAGTTTGTTATTGCTGAAAGTGAAGGTTCTGTGTTATCAGGTTCTATTGCTGAACCTCACATATCTCAGGATATCCAGCACCAAGATTACCAACATGTTAACCAGCGTATGCCAATTAAACCTCAGCCTATGGAAGTGAAGACTATATCTCAGGATATCCAGCACCAAGATTATAAACAAGTTAGCCACTGTATGCCAGTTAAACCTCAGCTTATGGAAGTCAAGACTGAAGTCCCCACGAGTTGTACTAAAGATATTCCAGTTATTATTGAGTTGAAGAATTCTGTAGATGACATTAGCAAACAGAAGACTGATGATGAGGGTGTTACAATTGATGATTTTGGTGGTCTTCCTAAGCAAGGAAATGCTAAGATCGAAAGGGAGCCTGAATCCATTAAACAAGAAAATGTGGCACAGTCTTCCGAAACTACAGCTGGAACTAAGTCTGGGAAACCAACAATAAAGGGGGTATCACTGACTGAACTGTTCACCCCCTGAGCAAGTACGGGAGCATATTACAGGTCTCAGACGATGGGTTGGCCAGGTATCTTTATTGTAGTGTTGCGATTTGTTTCAGACACTGTTCTTTGTGATTGTATGTAGTAGATCATTCACAAGTTGTCTTAGGTCGATATATATGTGCTTGCTTACTACTCGAGGTACTGAAAAACTGGAATTTGAGACAGAACTAGGTATACTTATGATAGTTATTTTTTCTTTCCTTTACAGAGTAAAGCAAAGGCTGAAAGGAATCAAGCAATGGAGCACTCAATGAGTGAGAACTCCTGTCAGTTATGTGCAGTTGAGAAACTTACTTTTGAACCACCACCTATATACTGCAGTCCTTGTGGTGCTCGCATTAAGCGAAATGCATTGTACTACACAATGGGAGCTGGTGATACGCGCCACTACTTTTGTATTCATTGCCATAATGAGGCTCGTGGAGATAGCATTGTTGTTGACGGAACTGCCATTCCTAAGGCAAGGCTTGAGAAGAAGAAGAACGATGAGGAGATTGAAGAATGGGTATGTGCAATACTTATATTTTTTGTATTATGGTCATCCCTAAAGTTGCTCTTACATGTTTTTTTTTTCTTCAATAAAATCTTCCAGTGGGTTCAATGTGACATGTGTGAGGCCTGGCAACATCAAATTTGTGCTTTATTCAATGGTAGAAGGAATGATGGTGGACAAGCTGAATATACATGCCCCAATTGCTATATTGCTGAGGTTGAAAGAGGTGAGCGGAAGCCCCTACCTCAAAGTGCTGTCCTTGGGGCCAAAGATTTGCCAAGAACAATTCTTAGTGACCAAATAGAGCAGCGATTATTCAGGAGACTGAAACAGGAAAGACAAGAAAGAGCAAGGGTTCAAGGAAAAAGTTATGACGAGGTGATCAATATTCCCCCAATGACGGTTAATTCTATATTGTTCATGGCATTGTTTTGCTACTTTGATATTGCTTAAAGATGTTCAAAACCAATTCACATGTATAGAGACACAAAAGGAAAAATATATTTGATTCCCTTTTCCTTGATATTTCCAGGTGCCGGGGGCTGAGGCACTTGTAATTAGAGTTGTTTCATCAGTTGACAAAAAGCTGGAAGTGAAGCAGAGGTTTCTTGAAATCTTCCAGGAACAGAATTATCCACATGAATTTCCCTATAAATCAAAGGTGTGGAGGATATAGATTAAGTGTAACTTGTGTTCTCTCCCTCCCTCCCTCTCTCGATATATGTATATATGTTTGATAGATTAAGTGTAATACATACTTATATGATGAAATACTTATGGGGTGTAATTTGATTGTAGTTTTGAAATACTTATGGCTACATACTTTTCTCTTTTAGGTTATTTTATTGTTTCAGAAGATAGAAGGGGTAGAAGTATGCTTATTTGGTATGTATGTTCAAGAATTTGGAGCAGAATGTGCATTTCCAAATCAGCGCCGTGTTTATCTGTCATACCTAGATTCAGTCAAGTATTTCCGGCCTGAGGTTAAAGCAGTTACTGGAGAGGCTCTCCGTACATTTGTTTACCATGAAATTCTTGTAAGTCCAAGCTCTTATTGAATTCTGCTAAGGGACAATTATGTTATGATTTTAGTTTCACATATAGTATACTTCTAGACTTCTACTAAGTTGTGATCATTGTCTAACATATTGGACTTTAAATCTTAAATTTTCAGATTGGATACCTTGAATATTGCAAGATGCGTGGCTTTACAAGTTGCTATATATGGGCTTGCCCTCCTCTTAAGGGGGAAGATTATATCTTATATTGCCATCCGGAAATTCAGAAAACACCTAAATCAGATAAACTGCGAGAATGGTGAGGCAAATAGTTGTCAAGCATATCTTTTTTACTTTAATTCTTTACTTTGCATCTCATGTTATGTTTTTATTTATCCATTATTACGAATTGCCCTTATATGAATGCATGCTGTTTCAGGTACTTAGCAATGTTAAGGAAGGCTTCCAAGGAAAACATTGTAGTTGATCTTACTAATTTATACGATCACTTCTTTACAACTACTGGTGAATGTAAGACGAAAGTGACGGCTGCTAGGCTGCCATATTTTGATGGTGATTACTGGCCTGGGGCTGCCGAAGATCTAATTAACCAGCTTCGTCAGGAAGAAGATGGCAGAAAGCTGAACAAAAAAACAACATTCAAAAAGATTATATCAAAAAGGGCTTTAAAAGCAGCATCGGGTCAGTCTGATCTCTCTGCTAATGAAACTAAGGATCTCCTGCTGATGCATAAGGTAGTTTCTTTTCTTCCTAATCTTTCAGCATATTTTTCTGTATGATGTTGTTCTGTGTAAAGCCAGTAGATGTGGAAATTACAATCTTGCTATCTTAGTTTTGGCATTTTTAATATCACGAACCAGGGGATTTTACTGATTACTTGTTTCCCTCCTTTCTTCTTCACTGCAGTTAGGTGAGACCATTTCCCCAATGAAGGAGGATTTTATCATGGTCCACTTGCAGCACTGTTGCACTCATTGTTGTATCCTAATGGTATCTGGAAACCGCTGGGTCTGCAACCAGTGCAAGAAATTTCAGATTTGTGATAAGTAAGCTTTCCTCTGTTTAGCTTTGTATCATCAACATCTTGTATAGTTGAGCTCTGTGTGTGTTTGTGCTTTTCTTTCTTTTTTTTATTTTTTTGGTTGGGGAGTGGGGTGGCTTGGTGTTGGATGGGTGATGGTACTCTAGTACGTGAGGATTTTGTCGGTAGATAAATGGATCTTATAGTTGCATCTTTGTATCTTCGCAGGTGCCACGAAGCAGAAATGAAACGTGAAGAAAGAGAGAGACATCCCACACATCTGAGGGAAAAACATGTTCTTTATCCCGTAAGTTTGTCATAGTATTACAATAATTTATTTCTAGCATGTGTCTATTGCTGCTTCTGTAGGCAGATTTTTCTTTTCTTTTCTAATTGAATTTTGTGGACAAATTGTCATCATGCAGATTGAAATAACCGATGTACCTACTGATACGAAGGATAAAGATGAAATTCTCGAGAGTGAATTCTTTGATACTAGGCAGGCCTTTTTGAGTCTGTGTCAAGGGAACCATTATCAATATGATACCCTAAGAAGGGCTAAACATTCCTCTATGATGGTACTCTACCATCTTCACAATCCAACTGCTCCTGCATTTGTCACTACATGTAATGTATGTCATCTGGACATTGAAACCGGCCAAGGTTGGCGCTGCGAAGTTTGCCCTGATTATGATGTGTGCAATGCCTGTTACCAAAAGGATGGGGGCATTGATCATCCTCATAAGTTAACAAACCATCCATCCATTGCGGAGCGTGATGCACAAAATAAAGAGGCTAGGCAACTACGGGTTCTTCAGGTATTTTTCTAATAAATAACTGTTTTGGCTAAATCTTGTCAAGTCATATATGTTTAAAAAGAAGAAAGGTTTCTTTTTATTCATTATCTTTAGTACAGTTAATGATATACACGGAACGTAATCAAATTAAATCTAGCCAGATCCTAAATCAAGCTACCTACTGTAGGCCCTATAATTAAGTAAAGTATTTTTTTTTGATAGGAATGAAAGGCCTCGTTTAAAACCCCCTTCTTGATTAAGGAGCTTGATAATAAGCTCCTTAATCAGCAGAAGGAGGAAAAGAGTGCCTTTAATTTTATTACTAATGGAAAAATTACATAAGATACAACCATTACACCAATAACAGTACATAAAACTTAAAAACATCCCCTGGCATAAAAGCCTTTACAGTACATAAAACTTAAAAACACCCCCTGCCATAAAAACCTTCACAGTAGAAGAGAAAACCATAGTTGACTCCTAACAATCAACCTATCCCACTCTTAGCTAGATTGTCTGCCTCCCCATTGCACGCTCTTGGAATTCACCTCACTGAATGTACCTTACTAGGGATGAATGTACCTCACGACAGCCATTGAAAGGAGGAGAAGAGTACATTTTTTTTGATAGGAATAACAGGCCTCATCACAAACCTCCTCCTTGATTAACGGAGTCTGATAATCAGCTCCTTAATTTAACCACTCAAGTAGCAACCAAAAACCTAAAGCTCAAACAATAAAACCCACTGATAATGCCTAACAATCAACCAATTCCCATCTTTGCTAAACTATCAGCCTCCCCATTACACGCCCTTGGAATCCATCTAACTGAGTGCACCCTATCCGAGAAGAGTGATGAAATCTCCTTAACTAAAGGTAAGATAAAAACAGGGGCCAAAGTTGGGGTCAATATCCATTCCACAGCCGACTTGCAGTCACTTTCCACAATCAACCTTCCAACAGTAACCCAACAAGAAGACAAATAGATTTCAATTCCTCTCTTAATAGCCTTTAACTCCGCAACCTGGGGGGGACCTTGACCTATATTTTCTGAAAAAGTCAGAAGAAAGTTGCTGTTCCAGTCTCTCAAAATACCTCCTATACCTCCATTTGTGCCATCAAGTCTAACAGCTCCATCAACATTCATCTTCAAAAAATCAACAGGGGGTGGGAACCAGCGAATCACCTGAACATTCTTAGGATTAAGAGCCTTAATACCATCTGCAAGAGATGGATCACCAATCAGCACATCCTCCTGAATAGGAAACTTAGGGTACTTGGCTAGAAACCATTTAGATAACCTGAATCTAGCAATAAAAAACAGAGACATCCTATCAAGGGGAGCACCTTCGAACACCATTGCGTTCCTAGCTTTCCAAATCGACCAAAATACTACTCCCGGAATAAATTTCCAAATCAACGATTTCCCCCCTCAGTTCACCCCAAGAGCTGATCAAAGAAGGTGGGTCCTTTGGAAGTACCAAAGCTATATCCCAAAAGCTTACTATCTTATACCATAGTTCCCAAACTACAACACACGAAATAAATAAATGTTGCACTGATTCCACTTGTTCCTTACAAAAAGGACACAGAATTTCATCCCCTAGCTGATGAACATCTGAGGGTGGCTTTTCTATGGACTTATGCTTTTTTATCGGGGGAGGGGATGGGGTTATGAGTAATGGGCTTGACAACATTGAAAATGTCTAAGGAACTTTATAGTTAGATGTTTCTAAGATGCTATTAGCACTTTGCAATTGAAAATTGAAATATCCTAAAGTGTAAAATGCTTATATTCCCGGAATAGTTAGTTTCCTTCTTATTTGGCAAGTAGATTGTGGGAAAAATGAGTTTATGACTACAAACATGAGATTCTTGATGTGTTCCTCTGACTGGATTGATTCTTGAAATTTTCAGCTGAGGAAAATGCTTGACCTTTTGGTGCATGCATCACAATGTCGTTCATCACATTGCCAATACCCAAATTGTCGGAAAGTGAAGGGTCTCTTCCGCCATGGAATTCAATGCAGAATCCGTGCTTCTGGTGGCTGTGTACTATGCAAAAAAATGTGGTATTTGCTGCAACTTCATGCTAGAGCATGTAAAGAATCTCAATGCCACGTACCACGTTGCAGGTACATTATCCCTGCTAAACTGCCATTCTCTGTTTGTGCTCGTGTTCAAGTTAAAGCTAATAGATTTGAACTTGCTAATACAGGGACCTAAAGGAACATTTAAGGAGGCTTCAACAACAATCTGATTCTCGGCGCAGGGCTGCTGTGATGGAGATGATGAGACAGAGAGCTGCAGAGGTTGCTGATAATTCTGGGTAAAACTAAAGTGTTTTAACATACATTTTGGTGCTTTGATGAAAAATGCTCCGTTATATAGCGACATGGATAAAGTTGTCCACTGCTTGGAACTAGACAGTGACGAAAAGAAATCGCCAATCTAGAGTGTCAGAAGGGGTTGTGCATACATTAATAAAAACGGAATGATAAGGGAACAATACTTTCATTCGTAAACCATGACTGAATCCCCTATGAAGAAGGTTAATGTGGTTTCAATATCTACCTGCAACTGCTGTCAACTCTTCCGTTTGGATGACTTCGAATACCGATGTGTTCTGCCTTTGGTGGGAGTGTACTATAATCTATTTAATCTGTCAAAATTGCTTTCTTACAGAGGAATGTGGGAGGTTAGTTCAAAATCTTTTAAGTTTTCCCTCGATTCTTTTTGTTCTCTTTCTATGTTTTCCCCCTTTAGAACATTGACCCTCCCTCCCCTTTTTGTAGTATGGTCATTTAATTAAAAAATGGAACAATAAGTAGAAATAGAGATGAAATTGCATCCATTCATTCTTAATAAATACTATGAAATTATTATGTATGTGTGTGTGTATATATATATTATATATGTTTCAACTGAGGATGTGTTTTGTAGTACTGTATTTTATTTTAATAGTCTTAGGGTGATAATAAGGTAATATTTATTCAGAATTTTTTTTAGCCGTTGACAATGCACACACTTGTAGACTCAACTGCTTGAATCCAGGACCTATAAGGAGAATAACTCTCCTTAACCATTGAGACCACTTGATTGTTGATTGATGAGTTGTGTAGTATGATCTTTCTTGATGTTGTGTGGTTCAACCAAAAAAAATGAATGCAGTTGGAAAGATACACTGAATATTAATGTTACGTTAGTAAGCAGAAAGCAAAGTGAAGGTGAAAGCACTGCATGTTTTAGTACATATTTTGATTTATTAGTTATTCTTTCTTTGTCATTTACAATGACATCCACGTCATATCATTTACCTTCTAGTATATTTTGTCAACATCACTTTCTCACGTTTTAGGATCTTTCAAAAAAAATTCAAATATTTTTACAGTCTCGTGATATTATTCTTGGGATAATTTTTTTTCGAAGAGATCAAACTTAATACCAAGTAAAATCGTTATTTATTTATAGATTAAATTCATTTGTGACATTTAGAATATATTTATTTAGCCCCGGGTAAATACAGAACGATGTATGTTTTGATATATTAAGAACCAATGTGTCTCAAGATAGTAAGCTGATGGTTGATATGATGGCTATGTGCCTTGTATATAAGATTTGTAGTTATGAAATCATATCTCGATTAAGGAGTATCATTTCAATGATATTGTGTGGTCTATGAAAATGGAACATGGTCATGAGTAGTTCGTCTAAGTTTAAATGATTTAAGTATTACCTTGTGTAATAATAAATTTCATCATAGGATTTAAGTTTGATTGAGTTTAAATTATCTCTTGTTTACTTTTAGATGTTTAAAGTTATATATATATATATATATCAAAGTATGTGTTTAACTTACTATAAGGTTAATTTTGTTACGATTGTTAAGAAAATTCGACCACCACTCAAAATGTCACAAAATATGTTTATAGTTTTTTGAAAATGTTATTAAAAATTGATAAATTATTTATATGATCATTTAATTATTGTCTCTTTTTATTGATTATCAATTTTAAAATTCTATTAATCAGATTATTTAATTATTTAAATGGTTCAATTAAATTATTTATTAATTTTTAATTAAAGGGTTGGCGTTCAATCAAATTATTTGTTAATTTTTAATGAAAAAAAGTTGACGTGACGCATTTAAAAGATTTAAGTATGCGCCATTTTATTAGGTAATGCTGATAATAAAACCTCAATGGCATTAATTCTTGTAGTCATGGTTTTCAGAATCGGACCGGTTAGTGAATCGGTTATGTTATCGGTTTATTGGTTTAATCGGTCGAATCGGTCTGATCGTCAGAAGAATCGGACGACGTCATAATTATTAAAAATTAAATAAAAACATAAAAAATATTAATAAAAAATAATTTTGTATATCACAAGTCATATTCAAAACAAGTCATAACATATATAAGTTAAAAACCATAAAATAAGTGAAACAAAATAATTCAAATTAACTACAACATAATATTTAAGGTAAAACATATTAAATATTAAATATAATTATATAACTATAATTAAAAAAATAAATTTGGGGCTAAAAAAATCATAACAAAATGATATTGTTTGGTTTATTTTTTTTAAACAATCCCACATGACTAAGAAACATAGAAGAACATCCAAAAGTCTAAAGAGTAAAAATATGAGAACAAAACAATCTCACATGGCTAAGAAACATAGAAGAGCATCCCTACTAACTTCTATAAATAATAGAGGTAATTTAGTATTCAAAATCATGGAGCCTTTTGGTGAGCATAGAGTGAACTATTCTTTCACTTCAATCAAGCTCGAATTTTAGGCTTCAATTAAGCTTCTAATTTTTTTGAGTTCAAGCCTTTTCGAGTTTAAGTTTCAATATTATATTTCGAGTTCGAGTTTAACTTGCTAATTTTTAGTTCGTGAGTTTGAGTGAGTTGAGCTTACTTTTAAAATTTGGTCGAGCTCAGCAATACTCGAGTTCGACTTGGCTCGTTTAACAAACGACGTCGTTTGGTTTAATTTTAAAAAAAAAATAAAATTGGCGGTTTTTTTGGGTTTCAGCCGATTCAATTCGAACGGTTTAACAATTTTAACCGGTTCACTAATAACGGTTCAACCGGTGTAATTTGAACCGAACTAAACAGCAATTTCTGATTAAACCGGTTGAACCGGTCGGTCGATCCGATTTCAAAACACGGCTTGTAATGCTTTAAAAGGACAAACTCAAAGATGACTTGAGAGGAGGGAAAGAAAAGGAACAGTGTAGTTTGTATTTCAGTACTTGCTGCAAATCCACTCATTTATAATTCGGTAGTCATTTGACTCTTCAATAATTTTGTTATTTCAATAGAAGATTTTACGTGTTGAGTAAAATATACGAATAATTTTTTGATTATAAAATATTATTTTATTAAATTTTACGACTATTAAAAATTAACGTATGTATCTTTCTAAATGATATTATCAACTTCACCATGAAACTTTTTATTCTTCCAATGTAATTTTTTTTTCATTCAACCCTTTAAATTATAATGACACAATGATGTAACGTTAAATTTAATTTTTTCTTGTTTCATTGTTGTTGGACAGTTACCCATATTTTGGCATACACAACCAATTCCTTTTATAACAAAACAACTCTTTAGCCAATAGCATGATATAGGTGGAAACCTTTGGCGCAAACTTTCTTTTAATAATCTAATGCATTTAAAAATTAATATTTATTTAAAATATTTTTTTAACTATTAACAACGTATGCATACCCTACAAATGCAATTGATCGAAATTCATACTCTTCTAGAAAAATACTTTCCATAACCATTGATGTCAATTGTTCGTTTGATATATACTTAATCTTTATATTAATTTTTTTATAACATATGAACAATCGAGTTATTATTTTGTAACTTTTAATAGTTTAAGTATTCAACAAAGTAGAACTTTATAGTAGGGGTCATTTGTGTACTTTATCTTATAAAATATAAATAATCTTTAAAAGCACGAGCTAAAGCTACCTAAGTGATTAAAGGAATGATTATTATTTATAGAGGTCCTGAACTCGAGCACCAATAATTGCATTGTATATGAACATTCATTGTTAAATGGTTAAGAGTCTCTAGAATATATACTACCACTTATAATCACATTAGATTAGGGTGAATTACAAATTTCATCACTAAACTTTACTCTATCCTATTTTGCTCACTGAACTTTAAAAGTTTTCAATTTCCTCACTGAACTTAATACATTGGGCTTTTTTGATTACTCTGTCGTTGAATAGTTAATGATATTAAACCAACGCTGTTTTAAAAAATAAAATTTTCATCAAAACATCATTTTACATCTATATAAAAGTCCATTTATAACACAGTTAGTGAGAAAACGACTACGTGACAAAAAAATCCAATTTATTAAGTTCAAAAATTAAAAAATTAAAATACAATGAATGAAATATGAGATTGAATAAAATTTAGTTACCAAATTTGTAAATTATCCCTTTAGATTAATAAAAAAATAGTCTCTAAAAAAAATGTTCCAACTCCAATATTAAAGCCTCACGCTGAAAACGAAATGCGAGTGAAAATATTGAGTTGGAAATAGGCTTGTAAATGAACCGAACGCACATGAACGGAGGTATGTTCATGTTCGTTCATTTAATAAATAAACGAACTTAAACGAACACGAACATAAACGAACAAATTTTTTTTGTTCATGTTCGTTTATTAAGGAATATAACTTGTTCATGTTCGTTCATTTAATAAATAAACGAACATAAACGAACACGAACATAAACGTTGGAGACTCTACCTTCCATTGTTCTTTCATGAAAAATAGTCGACAACGCAAATCAACCAAATCTACATGATAAATAGCGTAAGAACTTATTAACAGTGATGAAATGTTTGAAGATATCAAATATTTCGATCGATCTTTTAAAGATATTAAATTATTCACACGACTTTAATTTAACGCTATAACATTTATCTTAGTGGTACATGATTACATATGAACAATCATTTTCCACTACGTTATTCTAATAAATTCGCCGGCTAAAAGTTTTGTGACATCAATGTCAGACTTTAGTGAGGTTTGTTAATAATGGTCATTTCCGTTGGCAGAGTATAAATTTTAACAGCATGAAGATTTCGAATGGTACAAATTGGACTACAAGGCAATAACATAGATCTGAAATCCCTTCAATGCTACATATCGTAACTGATATTATTGCTAAACCACCATTCAAAATTTTAACGTACCTAAAGTCTACTCTACAACTAAAGGTCAAGAACTATGAAAACAAAAGTTCATTGTCAAAGTGTATTTTCTACTTATTAATGGGTTCTTCCTGAAAAACCCATTACTTCTGCTATTATACTCTTTTTCAGAAATTGCATAGAAACCTTTGTTTTGTTTTCTGGCAAATTCTATATATTTTTCTCTTTACTGATGCTCATATACGTTTGGTTGTTACCTTTATCTTCCCATATATTTCTAGAAAGAAGTATAATGTTTTCTTGAGTTTTAGATATGAAGATACCCGCAATAACTTTACTTATTAACTATTAAGCCAAATAAAACAGAGAAAGAGATGAAAACAAACCTGTCAAACTTCAGATTGCACTATAATATAACTTGTTTTGAAGCTTTCAGCGATCGTCTCTACTCTCTAGTGAACACTAGGGTTTAGGGAAAAAAAAAAGGGAGAAATGAATATAGGTGTGAGGTGCCTCACGGGTTAACATATTAGATTTAATCTCCAAATAAAATTGGGTTAATTATGGACTTGATCATCAGAATATCATATTAATTAATATTTTTAAGATACTTACAAATTGGTCACCAAAATTGATTTAAGAAGATTGTGTTAAACATAAATGAATGAACATAAACGAACATAACCGAACGAACATAAACGAACATAACCGAACGTTCACGAACGTAAATGAACGAACGAGACCTATGTTCATGTTCATTTATTTAATTAAATGAACACAAAATCTTGTTCATGTTCGTTCATTTAATAAATAAACGTACATAAACGAACTTTCCACCGTACGATTTATGAACGATTCGCTGAACGTTCAGTTTATTTACGTGCCTAGTTGGAAAGAAGGCAATGGCCGACGCTTTCCTTTCGCTACCTTTTCTTTTTATTGAATTTCAACTAAAGCCCAAAGTCAAATAGATCTAAAGATCTATCAAAACGTCATCTTTAACCCACCTAATTGGTATATCTAATCTAATCTAATCACAGTACGTTCCAATCCAAGTTTTCTGGGAAAACAAAAAGAAAACCAGAAGTTCAATCAAAGAAAACAAAGCTCCTAGAACAAAAAACATTCCTTTTTCCTTTTGATTTCAAACAAAAGATTTCCAAACTCGAGCGGCTGTTGAATCAGTCAACAATCAAAAAGAAAAAATTGTTGTGTGGAGGGGAAGAAGATTCACCATACCCAAATTTTTTTGTCAAGCTTCAATCAGGTTCTTTTTTTCTTTTTCGAATTCATGGTCTTTGAAAGATTGTAAAGATCTTTTTTTTCCATTGTGGGTTTTTTTTTGTTCTCATCCTGAAATCTAATCAAGGCTTGTTGTGTGATTGATTATTGCATTCTTGTCACTGTTAATTAATTGATTCATATATGTTTTGTTTTCATTGATTTTGTGTGTGTATGTGGAGTTCTTAAATGGATGGAATTCATATTGCCGACATATCAAAAATTGAATACGTATTGTCTAAGTAAAAAAAAAGAAAAAAGAACTTTTCTTTATTAATGAATGAGCATTCAAAGATCACAATGTTCACCTGTTTTTGTTTACTCCCTAGATTTTAGATGATCTGATCCGGATATAACTTTCTTCCTGGTATGATTCTGATAAATAGTAATGGAAAAAAGTGTTACAAATATTTGTTGAATGTAGTTTGTTGTTTTTTTTATCAACATTACTTTCAAATTCTGCAAGTAGGATTGAAATTTTGAGTTTGTTTATCCTATATTTTATCGCGAATCGAAAATTTTATATTAATGTGATTGTAGGTTTGCTAATATTATTGAGTAGCTGAAGCAAAGAAATGTTGAAGTTTATGTTTAGATATTCTTATAAAGCTATTGAACATAGAATCATATGATTTATGCAATATTTTAACCCGAATTTGCTTATTTGTTTCTCTTTCAATAGTGATTAATGGGAGAGGATGGAGCCTCCACCTTTACTGTGGATGATGCCCTTTTGCACATGGGGTTTGGAAAATTCCAAATTCTCGTGCTTGTTTATGCCGGAATGGGTTGGGTTTCAGAAGCTATGGAAATGATGCTTCTCTCTTTTATTGGTCCGGCAGTTCAAGCTTTATGGGGTCTCACTTCCCATCAAGAGGGCCTAATAACCAGTGTGGTTTTCGTCGGGATGCTTGTTGGAGCGTATTCATGGGGTGTTGTCTCAGATAAATATGGAAGAAGGTGGGAACATTTTTCATATTCATGGTTTTTTCCCGTTGTACTCAATCCCTGCTTTAATGACCCGTATTTTCTTTAGATGAGTATGCTTGATATTAGTAGTATCTAATTTTACCTCCAATTTAACGCACTCATAAGTGTGTGGCATCTAGTGCTTTCTTTTTCGTTCCAGAAAAAAAATGACAAGTTAGTGTTTTATTTTGGTGTGATTATCATGTCGAATTATTGCTTGACTCGTCTGTCTTTGGAATCCTGCAATTTGGTTAAGCTTCTTGTCTTCCTTTTTTGGTCTTTCTGCACGCTTTTAGTCGAAAAGTCTTGAGTCTTTCTAATTGAAATTACCTTTGAGCTGTGGAATAATGATTTCGAGTCCATTCAATAAAATATGACCGATTGAAGCTCTATAGAGTTGGATTTTTCATTGATCTTCCTGCTTTGGGAAATATTATTGTTAGTCATTTGAACATAGAATTTATAGCTTTACTTGAGAAGTAAAACTTAGAAGAATTGAAGCGAGTTTTAGAACTACCATAATGAAAGCAGAAATGAATTTGATGCAGTTCCGTGTTGCTTATTCTTATGCCTTATAATATTTTGTTTTTATCGGTTTACTTCTGTCGTTCAGGAAAGGGTTCCTCATCACCGCAGTAGTTACTTCTGGAGCTGGCTTTTTGAGCGCCTTGTCTCCAAATTACATTTCATTGATTATTTTTCGTTGTTTGGTTGGTCTTGGTCTGGGTGGTGGCCCCGTTCTTTGCTCCTGGTTTCTAGAATTTATTCCTGCCCCAAGCAGAGGCACTTGGATGGTTATTTTCCAAGCGTTCTGGACTTTTGGGACCATTTCTGAGGCCTCACTTGCATGGGTATGTATTTAATGTTTTTGTCATCTTTCATTTGCTTCTTCTTCCTTTTCGCATTCTTTTCAATTCAAATTTGATTGTGATGGAAATGGTGTCCATTGGTGTCGTACCATTAAGGCTGCATCATCTTCGATTTTCTAGGTCATATTCAGAGCTCAATCATATTGATTTTGACCTACAATATTGTTTTTTCTTTCAGTTTGTCATGCCTAGATTGGGTTGGAGATGGCTACTTGTTCTGTCGGCTATCCCTTCATCTGTTCTCCTTGTATTCTATGTGTTTGCACCCGAATCACCCCCGGTATCTATGTCTGGAAGGTAGAAAAGAGGAAGCACTTGTTGTTTTGGAGAAAATAGCTAGAATGAATGGAGCGAAATTGCCTTCTGGAATTCTTGTTTCTGAGAATGAAATCGAGTTAGCTGACAAGAGTGCTCCAACAGAAGATACACAGTTGCTTCAAGCAGAAGAGAACGGATACGAAACTCCTATGCAAATTAATCCTAAAGCAGGAGGCATCTCATCGCTGTTGCACCTTCTTTCACCAGAATTAGTTCGGTCAACCACACTCTTATGGATGGTTTTCTTTGGAAATGCATTTTCATACTATGGACTCGTATTACTGACAACGGAGTTGCACAATGGACGTAATACTTGTCGTCCAGAAGCACTGCAATCAGAAAAGCTCAATGGCGTCAGCTACAAAGATGTTTTCATTACTACTTTTGCCGGTAATTTTCTCTGCTTGTCCCATTAATTATTTCATCCGATCGTAAAAGTTTAATTTTGACAATCCCGGAAGGCACCTCACTGACATCTAGCTTTGATGTATTTTCTAGAGTTCCCCGGCCTCCTCATTTCTGCTTTCACTGTCGATAGATACGGGCGTAAGTTTTCAATGGCAGTTATGTTCTTCCTGTCTTGCATTTTCCTGCTCCCACTGGTAGTCCATCAGCCTCGGAGACTGACAACAGGCCTCCTCTTCGGTGCTCGAATATGCGTTACGGCAAGCTTCACGGTTATGTATATATATGCACCGGAGGTAATGCAAGTTCCTTTTTATCCCTTTAAAAAGTTTGGAAAAATAAATCGAGCATTAAAATTTATTGACAAATCATTAGTATAGCATTGGATTGCATTGGGATTATGTATAAGAAGATAGTTCTGATATTTTGATATTTTAACACGTTCATTAACATTTTGTGTGAAGTAATGATTCATTTGTTTTTATCCCGTAGATATACCCAACATCCCTTAGATCAACCGGTGTTGGAATTGCAAGCTCGATGAGTAGAATTGGCGGGATGGTATGTCCGCTCGTTGCGGTGGGTCTAGTGCATGGATGTCATCAAACCGCTGCCATTTTGTTGTTTGAGGTTATAATTTTTGCGGCAGGGATATGCGTACTTCTGTTCCCGGTAGAGACTATGGGTCGGGACTTGAGTGATAGCGTTTCTAGTTCGAAACAGACAATTGAGTCAAGTTAAATAGTGAGAGGGCTTTGCACCTTCTGTATAACAGTTGTTTTACTACAAAGAAGACAATAAAGAAGTTTTTGGCTTCCATAGAAAACAGCTTTTCAAATTTCTTCTTTCGCAAATATATTTTTGCTACGTTTTGAGAATTCATTAGCTTCTATGGTGAAGCCTTTACGACGTCATTCTCTTTTGACGACATTCATATCAAGCAGAAAGAGTTTCTTGTATCGATGGTGACAGAAGGTTTCGAGAACTTCAAAGTTCAGAAGATAAAGCTGATCATATTGGTAAGATACATTTTTATCACTTAAAATTCCTTTTTTGCTTTCTGGTCCATGGTTTGAGTTCATAGGGCTTTGAATTTAGGAGAGAAAATATCTCTGCCCTGTCTGCCTGCATGCTTGACTGATTCGAGTTCATAGGAATCTTCATCAGAGAAATTGTTTTCTACTATTGTCTTATGTTTACCGTATCGCTTCGATGTTTGGGTTTTAATAGATGAACATATGGTTCCTACTTCATCGGTGTCTTCGACTGTTTATCAACGTGCAGATGTATTATTACATCTGATATTATTCGGACGACATTCGAAATGTATGTAAATGCATGATTGTTGTATAATTAATTTTACGTCGAACAGATAGATAGCCATGTTTATGAATTTTGAATGAAAAAAAAGAGACTCCAGTTGAATGAGATAAGGCATTCAAAGTCGATGACCATAAGGCCTTAATCTGCTCTCCCTCACCATGCTGAGAAAATTCAGTGTGTACAGTATTGATGCCACACTTAAACCCGACCTAAATCTGATCCGGCTCAGACCGTGTACACCGTTAGGTCTTATCACAGTATGGATGAGAAAGTCCCTTACTTGAACCTTCATAAGTCGATGAACTCGAAGCCGATTCTGCATTCGGATTCTTGCAGGCCTATCAACTCTTGTTTCTTCAACACAACTCAATGCTACGTCCACAAACTTTTTCAAGCCATTGAGAGTAATAGAATCCCAACCTACGGTTGGATCAGGAATCTCTCGGAGATTATATAAACTTTTCGTTTTGTCCATCAACGTTGACACCTCTCGTACGATATATTTCCCGTGCTCTGTCGGTTTTCTCGAAGTTATTATTTCTAACATCACCACTCCGAAGCTATACACCGTTGCTTTTCTCGGTCAATTGTTGGGTCGTGTAATATTCGGGATCCAAATAACCCTATGAGGGTAACGATGGTAAATACTGCAGCATTATACAAAATTGGAAGAACTCTGCAACTCACCATTGTACCCTTGACTTGAGTAGTAACATGACCCTTTTCACTGTCGCCCATAGGTTTGGACAGACCGAAATCGGAGACATTAGCATTTTAACCGCTCATCTAGTATGATGTTACTCGACTTGATGTCCCTGTGAATAATCGGAGTATTTGCAAGCTCATGAAGATATGCAAGACCTCTAGCTGAACCGACGGCTACTTTTAGCCGTCTAGGCCAGTCCAATTTGATTCCAGACTTCCCTGCATTTTAGTATGTTCCGAATAAGGACAAAATGGGTGAAGAAAGAGCTGTTGATACAGCATAAGATGCCTTTTTAAGTATGTGTTCAAGTAGTAAAGAACGCAAGCCTGTCTGCACGATAAAACTCCGTTTTATTGTCGATGATGTAACTCAATTTCGGAAGAAAAAGCGGGGGAAACAGAGAAAGGGTACCTTCAGACTATCAGCAAGAGAACCATTGGTGACATACTCATATATTAGTATTTGTTCGTCACGGTCGAAAGAAAATAGACTGATGACATTTTTATGATGAACTCTAGATAGAATCTCGATTTCGGTTTTGAATTCGAGGCCACCCTGCATAGACACTTGCTGAGCACGTTTGATGGCAATAAGTTCCCTGGTTGGTAAAGTTCCTCTGTAAACCTGTAACAAAAGAAATTCAGAATTATCTGGAAAAAGGAAATCATTGTAACTATCACCATGACCTTTCTATAGAGAAAGAAAACACAACGTCTGCTGCCTTGACCACCACGAAACAGCAACAAGTTATGAATTTCGATGTCTTGCAGCGATACAACACGCCAAATCACTGATACAACATGGAGCACGAGACCACCTCGATGGAACCGAGGTGCTATAAGGATACATGTATTAGCATGAGATCACCTTGATGGAGCCAAGGTGCTATAAGGATGCATGTATTAGCATGTTTCGGGTAAGCATACATGAAAAACATATTCGACATAGCGAGAGAACGAGAGTCGAAATTAACCTTTCCATAACCCCCTGATCCGATATCGCAGACTTCTGAAAAATTGTTTGTGTATTTTAACTGAGGAATGCTACCACTGCTCTTCTTAGAATCCCAGTGTGCTATGTTTTTACAGAAAAAAAAATAAGTCATAAACCAAAGATATTACCTAAAATCAACTGGAAAAAGCTGAACAAATGAAATATTTATCTTACTGAACGGATTACTCCGCTTGGTTGCTCTATGTGCTTTCTTCTTCTGTCGATAAACATAAACCCCGGCAAGCATTAATAGCATAAACTACACCGAAGCACCAACTGCAGCTCCTATTTTGACGGCAAGACTTGCATTCTTCGATTTTCCAGGATCATCTATATGATAAACAGATACAAGGAAAACAATGAATCTGAAGCATTTTAGAAAACCATTAGTTTAGTTCTATAGTACGAGAATTACCCGAAAACTGTTTGTATTTGTCACCATGGAAAACATACGGTCCAAAGTACTTTGGAGGAGGCTTGTAAGTCTGGTTGATAAATACATATGCAAGCATAGATATTGCATTTCTTTGAAACTCTCTTGGCCATATGGAAATACACCAAGGTTCAAGAGAAGATATTGAGATGAATCCATCCTCGGATCGCTTAGTGAAATGGTTTCCACCGGAACTTGATGGGACTGAAAGAACTTATTCAAATCTTGCTCAAGAGTTTCATATGGAACTGAGTTTCCCATGTCAAGGAATTTAAAGCTTCGGAACTCTAGTGTTCCGGTATATGGATGTGCACATCTGCATGTGGGGCTCAAGATTTGGCCCGACTGACATGAAATCGGCTGACGGTTCTTTTGAGGGGTCGAATACAAGGAAGTCGACGGGGGTGGTTTGCTATAAATGTCGGTTTTTCCTGTCTCCTCACACACTGGGTTACCTACAAGCCTGTGGAGATCAGTAGAAAGAAATTTAGTGATTTTAAAAGGCATTAATAATCTTTAACATCAAGAATATATATCAACAGGCAATGGCTTACACTATTTCAAAGTTGCATGTTCCGGCATAGTTGACATCGGAAATCTCATTGTTCTGAAAATCTATGATTTGCAGTTGGTTGCTAGAGCTTGGATTAATGATCAATGTACCATTAAGTCGGTTCCTTTTTAGTACCCTGTCGACAATATAACAGAAAAAGGGGGAAAACCAACTGTTTATTTCGATATTCCGGAAACTATGTAACACAATTGGTGCCATATATGATCAGGCATACTCACACAGTGCAAATGTGGAAGCTCAAAGAATGTGGCAGGAACTTGACCTTGAAGTTTGATATCTTCCATCATTCTGCCATGAAAATGAATAGATTATTCTCCCCTACTACATAAAAAACACGTGATAAAGATGTACAGACAGTACTTATGCAGAGATGTCCATGTTGAGAATCGCAGACTGTTCGTAGTTAACAAGAGAATGCATGGTACTATACTAAGTCGAATGGTTGATCTTGTTTGTACAATTAAAACAGCTGAGGGAGAGGGGAAATAAAAGACAGGACAACAGGGATTGAAACCACGAAGGAAAATCTGATGACTCGAAAGTATTATTGCTCGAGTATCTGCAAAATCATGAAATAGAAAAGGAAGAAGAAAATATTAGTGATGGCAAATATATTATGGCTAAAGTTACTATAGCATTTGTTACTTACAAGGTATTCAAAGTGCTCATGCCAGTAAGGTTAGGCAGAGGGCCAATCAGCCTATTGTTCGACAAAAACCTGAAAATCGACATCGAATGCAGTTAATGAAGAGAGGGTAATAGCTCCATTTCGTCGAAGATAAACAAGTGTAGAAGACTATGAGCCTTTGTATCTCCATAGCTTACAAGTTCATGAACATTTGTAAGATTGTTGAGATTAGATGGAAGCTTCCCATTTAGTGAATTGTTATCAAAGCGTCTGCAGACAACACAAAATTGTCTTCATTATTTAAAAAAGAATCGAAAACACCAATATGAACTTACCCGAGTACTCGGTCGGGATACTCACACCACCTCCAGCATTTGCACGAGCCCTAGAGTAGGAGGAAGAATTCCAGTCAGCCTGTTGTTTTCGAATAGCCTGCAAAGAGAGACGAAAACGAAACGATACACCATAAACAGAATGTTATACGTTGCAAATCCTACTTGATAGAAAACTGTATGGAACTAACACATGTATCAGACTCATATTTGAACTGAAAAGTTTAGACGGAATTTGTCCGGAGAGTTTATTCTTCCCGAAATGGCTGTAGATTGCAGAGAACAGCATAACTGTAAGGGAAATAGAACCACCATGGCAAGAAAAAGAATGTACAAAGAAATTAAGCATACAAGTGTTTGGTATGAGCCAACATGTCCAGCCCCGGCGTAGATCCATCTGAAACCGGAATCGGTCCTTCAAGCTGGTGATCGGCTAGGTCTAACCAATAAAGAGTAGATAGATTACCGATAGTTGGTGGAATAGTGCCGGTGAAGGCATTAGAATTCAGTGATCTGCAGGAAATATAGGTCATTAAACATCACACATTCATGTAGTCACATAACGCCCTTCGGTTAAGGTCAAATTCTTACAGGAATTTCAGTAGCGGCAAAGATCCTATTGTATCAGGAATTTGACCAGTGAAACCACAGCTAACCAGGATTCTGCAAAATTTATATGATAAGAGAGGCCAATTAAGAACTTCAAAAGAACAATTAATATTCTCCTTACAAGTTCGTTAGCTTCTTTAAGTTCCCTATTGTCGATGGAAGAGGTCCGGTAAGGTAGCGGTTATACGATAAATCCCTGAAAAAATGAAGCAAAATCTCAAACCATGGAAACTACTGCATCCAAGTATGAAGAATGGAGGCAGACAGTGGATATAAAGGATTTACAATTGCTGCAATTCCGATAAGATCGAAAGGTCTCCCGACAACTCTCCCTCCAAGTTCATGTTTGGCAATGTACTGAACCAGAAAAAACTGTTACCTGTGACAACAGAATCAAACAATGCTTCAAGCGGTACAAGGAACCAACAACTTACATCGAGGTCACTCGAGAACCACTGCACTCGATTCCGACCCATTCATCGCGACAAGGGTCGCCTCGTAGCCGTCCGGGAGGCAAATTTTTCCACTCATCAGCTAGTGATCTTAGAGCAGCAGCTGCAGGAGAATTGGACAACAGTTTCCCTTGATCACATACATATAAGCAGTCTTCAAGTGCAAATAATATATGCAGTAAATTAAGAAACTTACAATCACCACTATCAGTAGTAGCCGCTGTGACACACATTTGAACTAAAAAACATAGCAGAAACAACCAAATGGATGGATCCATTTCTTGAGAGCCGAAGATCATTAAACTATTTCTTAAAAGCTGAAGATCAACCTGTATTCAATTCTAGTTCCAACTTCATTATGTGCAAAAGAGGGCATTTAGATACATCAGAAAAAGGGTATAAAATATAGTAGTTTTAGTGGATCAACAAATTGCAGTTTGCACAAGTAAACACTAACACTAACAATGGACACCCGAGTTTCCCCCCTTTTGTGTTGCCGTGTGAAAGTCAACAACCTTTTAAGTTTGGATGGAAAAAGATATGTTGTATAAGCTCTCCATTTTTCTTGAATTATTCGATACATAAAATTAAAGATATTATCTTAATATATATTAATATGTTCGATATATATCTATATTCGGCACATATCTGAACCCATTTGAATCAATTTGAATCAGATTTGAATATTATATTATTCATTCAACATTTGATTCGAATCGAATTTAGAAAAATATATCACATTTGAAATCAACCTAAAATATAAGGTAAAAACATATACCCCACACAATTTGAATATAAAAATCTCATTTTTTTCCGGTGAAATAATAACTTGATTAAAAAAATAAAGAAAATATATTATAATAATTATTCATAAATATATAAAAAAGTACATTTTTATTTTATGTTGGGTCTAATATTTATTATTATAAATTTGAACTTGATCTCATCTTTCAAAAAATTCAATTTAACTCGACTTTAGACTTAAAAGAATCTGATTCTATGAGATAAAGCCGATCAAAAGCTTTCTGGTTCAAAATCAAATTATTTTCTCTATGTAAGAACCTTAGAGATGGTACTAATATACATATTTAGATCGAATTTTATAAAAAAAAATCTTAGTACCGTACATATTTTGAGAAACAAAATATTAGAATTTAGAAAGGAGCAAATTACAATAACAATGTTACGTATGGCAAAAATACGTAACAGATGGACCTTCTGAAGAATTTGACCAATATTTTTTAACGTATAAAAGTACACCTACATACATAGACACTACTCACAAAGACTTCATCGCTTCACCCTGTTGGCACCTCTCATCACCACTGGACAGGGAGAAAATTCAGCCTATTCTTACCACGTTACTACAATTTTGCTTTTTAATTTTTAGAATTTTTTCTTTTCAGTTTTTGGAACTCTTCTTCTCTTAATATTCAAACGTACGCGTATGACTCCTCTGTTACGCTCTCACGTCTTCAATCATCGTTGGTGGGTTCCTTTTAGTTTAATTTGTTCTGCGTTTACTTTTATTTTATTTTAATTACAAATTTTCTTGCATTGTACATTTGCATGTATTTAATATTGTATACTATATGATATTAGATCATTTCTCAATTTCTTCATTTGGTTTTTTTGGCCACCTTCAACCCATGTTTATGTTCTTTGGTTTCTATTTTCAGGTAAATTTATTTTCTTTTTCTTTTTTATTCTTCCATTAAAGCTGTTTTTTTAATTTATCGTTTATGATGACTTTGAATTCCCTTGCTCTTTTTGAGAACGATCGAATTCCGTTGATGGGTAATTTTCATTTCTTGTTTTCATGGGTGCTTTGGGTTAATTACTTTGTTTTCCTCTCCGGCTTTGGGTAATTTTCATTTGCACTGTCAACTTTTTGTCAAAACTGTGCTTTTGAGGCAGATCTGTATGAGCTGTTCCATGTTTGTAACCATTATAAACTGTCATCACACCTGTTGATCCACATGTTCACATCATCACCTTTTCGGGTTTCATGTAGGTCAAGGGAACAGACTATAACACACATGATGGCACCTGCATACGAGATTATATCGATGTTACCGACTTGGTCGATGCTCATGTTAAAGCTCTTCAAAAGGCAAAACCCCAAAACGTAGGAATCTACAACGTTGGCACCGGGAGAGATAGATCGGTGAAGGAGTTTGTGGAGGCCTGTAAGAAAGCAACAGGGGTAGAGATAAAAGTCGACTATCTTTCCCGCCGACCTGGAGATTACGCAGAAGTATTCAGCAACCCAACTAAGATCTACCGTGAGCTGAACTGGACGGCTCAACATACTGATCTCAAGGAGAGTTTGAAGACCGCATGGAGATGGCAAAAGGCGCATCGTGATGGATATGGAGCCTCTTAGGTGATACGCTTTTTCTCATTGGATCACCGACCTTTTATCCGAAACGGCTTACACAGATACTTTGGATGTCCCCAACTTCAGCCGTGTTTCTTCTTCTACTATTATATCCGTCGCATCGGAGAAGGGAGGGGAATATTTCGAGATGGAGAAATATTTTGCATTGCTATTACATTATATGTATGGTTGATTATATATGTATTTGAAGTGATAGTGATAGTTTGAATAACAGTGATTGTCAGGCTTAGGCATTGCTTTTATTCGTGTTCTTCTAGCTTCATTACCTTTCAATAAGGCTGCCTTTGTGCGTACTGATAATTAACAAGCCATGGGGGTTTGCAAAAATTTGAAATTTAATGGAAGAAAATGCGAAAGTAACAAATAAATAAGAAAAAGGGCTTGACGTACTAAATTTTATGAAAAGAAATTTTCATTGGCTGCTGATGACTTTGGATTAAGTTCTAAAAAATAGAAAATATTTAAGGTTAAAAAAGGAAAACATGTAGGGATGAAAATGAATAGAGAAAAGATATAAGGAATCGGGTAGGAAATGTTGAAAAATAAACAAGTGGCCAAGCCACTTTCGGTGGCAGTCACCAATTTTGTTAAAAAGGGTTGGCTATTTGTTGAAAATCAACAATGGTAAAATCTTAATTTTAGTCATTGTAATTTAAGATATTTACAAATTAGTCCTTAAGCTTAAACTATAAATACCCTAGTTCATTTAGCTTCAAAACCATCCCAAAGCATTATAGTTTTCTTCCAATACTACAGAGAATTTAGAGAGTTTCTTGAGAGTTGTTTTCTCCTTTTTATCGAGAGAGAATTATTATTGTTTTCTCCTTGGTAGATCGAGAGAGGTTGTAATTACTATTTTCTCATAGTGAAATTCTTCTACCGTTGCCCGTGGTTTTTACCCTATTTTATTTAGGGGTTTTCCACGTAAATTTTGTGTCTCTTTTTATCTTCATTTTTATTTTCTCAAATTATTAATTACGATTTTGCTTTATCCGATAGCCGTCTTCCGCAACAATTGGTATCCGAGCTAGATTAGAGTGTGTAATATATGCTTATTGTCTTTGTGGTTGCCACCAAAAGGTAGATCCTCCAACATAAGAAAATAAGAAGTTATTACCCATTATTTAAAGGTTCCAGAGAACTATTCACGATAGTGAAATAGTGGGAGCTATCCGTAGAAGAAGCTATGGCAACGAAATTTGATATTGAAAAATCCAATGGGAGAAATTTCTCATTGTGAAAATTGAAGATGAAGGCCATCCTAAGGAAAGACGGGTGTCTAGCGGCTATCAATGAAAGGCCGGTGGATTTCGCAGATGACATCAAATGGAACGAGATGGACGGGAATGTTATGGCAAACTTTCATCTAGCATTAGCAGATGAAGTATTGTCAAGCATCGAGGAGAAGAAGACAGCTAAGGAGATATGGGATCATCTCATCAAATTGTACGAGGCCACATCGTTGCACAATAAAATTTTCCTTAAGAGGAAATTGTACACTCTCCGTATGCCAGAATCTACTTCAGTGACGGTACACTTAAATACACTGAACACCTTATTTTCTCAGCTTACATCCTTAAGCTGTAAAATAGGAGAACAAGAACGTGTTGAACTTCTACTTCAAAGTCTACCGGATTCGTACGATCAACTCATCATCAACTTGAAAAACAGTAATGTCACCAGTCTAGTCTTCGATGACGTTGCAGATGTTGTTCTACAAGAAGAAAATCGGCGCAAGAACAAGGAAGACAGACAAGTAAATCTGCAACAAGCAGAAGCGTTGACAACGATGAGAGGGAGATCAACAGAATGTGGCCAAAGCAGCAGTCATAAACATGGTAGATCGAAGTCGAGGAGCAAGAAGAATTTAAAGTGCTACCACTGTGGAAAGAAGGGTCACTTGAAGAAGAATTGTTGGAGTCTAAATAAATACTCCAATCCATAAGGCAATACCACAAACACTTCAGATGATGGAGATGCTCTATGCTGTGAAGTGTCAACCACCGTGGAAGGCAGAAAAAGATTTGCAGATATATGGCTCATTGATTCGGGAGCGACATATCACATGACCTCAAGAAGAGAATGTTTCCATCATTATGAACCTGTCTCAGGAGGATCTATGTATAGTTGCAATGATCATGCTTTAGAGATCGTTGGTGTGGGAACCATCAAATTGAAGATGTATGATGTAACAATTAAAGTTGTTCGAGATGTGCGGCACGTGAAAGGTCTGAAGAAAAATTTATTATCCTACGGATTGTTGGATAATAATGCTAGCAAGATTGAAATACGGAAAGGAATCATGAAGGTGTTCCGTGGATCGCTTGTGGTGCTAAAAGGTGAAAAAGATAGCTGCAAACTTGTACATGCTGAAGGGAGAGACATTGCTAGAAGCAGAAGCCTCTGTTGCCTCATGTAGTTCAGATTCTGCAATACTATGGCATAAGAAACTTGGACACATGTCAGAACAAGGAATGAAAGTCCTTGTGGAGCAAAAGCTACTTCCAGGCTTAATAAAGGTATCACTTCCTTTGTGTGAGCATTGGATAACAAGTAAGCAGCACCGGTTGAAATTCAACACATCAAATTCTAGAGGCAAAAGTGTTCTAGAATTGATTCACTCTGACGTATGGCAAGCACCAGTAACGTCCCTAGGTGGAGCAAAATACTTTGTCTCATTTATTGATGACTACTCCAGGAGATGTTGGGTGCACCCTATTAAGAAGAAGTCAGACGTGTTTTCAACTTTCAAAAAATTCAAAGCGCGGGTGGAACTTGATTTTGGAAATAAGATCAAGTGTTTCAGAACAGATAATGGAGGAGAATACACAAGCGAAGAATTTGATGACTTTTGCAGGAAAGAAGGCATCAAAAGGCAGTTCACAGTGGCGAACACTCCTCAACAAAATGGAGTGGCAGAGCGGATGAACAGAACCTTGTTAGAAAGAACAAAAGCAATGTTGAGGGACGCAGACCTAGAAAAATCATTCTGGGCAGAAGCAGTCAATACCGCCTGTTATTTGGTGAATCGAGCTCCATCAACTGCAATAGAGCTGAAGACACCAATGGAGATGTGGACTGGTAAACCAGTTGATTATTCAAACCTCCATGTATTTGGAAGTATTATGTACGTGATGTACAACGCCCAAGAAATTTCAAAGCTGGATCCAAAATCCAGAAAATGCAAATTCTTGGGGTATGCTGATGGAGTAAAGGGGTATCGCTTGTGGGATCCCACTGCCCGCAAAGTGATCATTAGCAGAGATGTTATCTTTGTAGAAGATAAGCTACAAAGAAAAGAAGACAATGACAGCGCTGAAAAGTCAGAGACTACACAGATACATGTAGAAAAGGAGTTTGAGCAATGAGATTCTTCTGAAGCAGAACCAACACATGATGAACAAGAACCAGAGAGTTCTGAAGCTCCAACAACTCGTCAATCAGATCGTGTGAGAAGACGTCCCAATTGGCACTCAGATTATGTTATAGAAGGAAATGTTGCATACTGTCTTTTAACAGAGGACGGTGAGCCATCAACATATCAGGAGGCAATAAACAACTCAGATGCTTCACTGTGGATGATGGCGATGCAAGAAGAAATCGAAGCCTTTCATAAAAATAATACATGGGACCTTGTGTCATTACCACAAGGAAGGAAGCCAATTGGTAACAAATGGGTTTTCAAAATCAAACGAAATGGTGACGATCAAGTGGAGAGGTATCGTGCAAGACTGGTGGTCAAAGGATATGCTCAGAAAAGAAGGTATTGATTTCAATGAAATTTTTTCTCCTGTGGTTCGACTAACAACAGTTTGAGTAGTCTTGGCAATGTGTGCTACATTGAATTTACATCTGGAACAGCTAGATGTTAAAACAGCTTTTCTTCATGGAAATCTTTAAGAAGAGATTTATATGCTCCAGCCTGAAGGTTTTGAAGAAGACGAAAAGAAGAACTTGGTTTGCAGGTTGAACAAATCTCTGTACGGTCTAAAGCAGGCGCCGAGGTGTTGGTAAGAGATTTGATTCCTTCATTATGTGCCTTGGATACAACAGACTTAATGCAGACCCTTGTGCTTATTTCAAGAGGTCTGGTGATAACGATTTTGTTATATTGCTGTTGTATGTGGATGACATGTTGGTTGCAGGACCCAACAAAGATCATATTGAAGAATTGAAGGCACAACTGGCTAGGGAATTTGAAATGAAGGACTTGGGATCAGCAAACAAGATTCTAGGCATGCAAATTCACCGAGACAGAAGTAATAGGAAGATTTGGCTTTCACAAAAGAATTACTTGAAGAAAATCTTGTCACGATTTAGCATGCAAGATTGTAAGCCAATTTCTACCCCTCTTCCTATTAACTTCAAATTATCCTCCAGTATGAGTCCTAGCAGTGAAGAAGAGAGGATGGAGATGTCTCGAGTACCGTATGCATCAGCAGTGGGAAGTTTAATGTTTGCTATGATATGCACAAGACCAGACATTGCACAAGCAGTGGGAGTGGTTAGTCGGTACATGGCGAATCCAGGCAAAGAGCATTGGAATACAGTAAAGAGGATCCTGAGATACATCAAAGGGACCTCAAATGTTGCATTATGTTACGGAGGATCAAACTTACTAATCAATGGGTATGTAGATTCTGACTATGCAGGGGATTTGGATAAAAGCAAATCTACAACAGGATATGTGTTCAAAGTTGCTGATGGAGCTGTAAGATGGGTTTCTAAGTTGCTGTCAGTTGTGGCTACATCCACAACAGAAGCAGAATATGTAGCAGCTACACAAGCCAGTAAAGAAGCAATTTGGTTGAAGATGTTATTGGAGGAGCTTGGGCACAATCAAGAGTATGTCTCTCTGTTTTGTGATAGTCAAAGCGCCTTGCATCTAGCAAGGAATCCATCATTTCATTCAAGGACAAAACACATACGAGTTCAGTACCATTTCATTCGTGAAAAGGTGGAAGAAGGGACAGTAGATATGCAGAAGATCCATACCAAAGACAACATAGCAGATTTCATGACAAAGGCGATCAACGCTGATAAATTTACTTGGTGTCGATCCTCTTGTGGCCTGTCAGAGACATAAGCAACATGATGGTACAAGGTAGAAAGAATTGTGTGAAGATATGATTGTTCCAATCAAATCTTCAAGTGGGAGATTGTTGAAAAATAAACAAGTGGCCAAGCCACTTTCGGTGGCAGCCACCAATTTTGTCAAAAAGGGTTGGCTATTTGTTGAAAATCAACAATGGTAAAATCTCAGTTTTAGTCATTGTAATTTAGGGTATTTACAAATTAATCCTTAAGCTTCAACTATAAATACCCTAGCTCATTTAGCTTCAAAACCATCCCAAAGCATTCTAGCTTTCTTCCAATACTAGAGAGAATTTAAAGAGTTTCTTGAGAGTTGTTTTCTCATTTTTATCGAGAGAGAATTATCATTGTTTTCTCCTTGGTAGATCGAGAGATGTTGTAATTCCTATTTTCTCATAGTGAAATTCTTCTACCGTTGCCCGTGGTTTTTACCCTATTTTATTTAGAGGTTTTCCACGTAAATTTTGTGTCTCTTTTTATCTTCATTTTTATTTTCTCAAATTATTAGTTGCGATTTTGCTCTATCTGATAACCGTCTTCAGCAACAAATGATCTCTTTATCAAAATAGGTGCGCTTGAGTCATGACCGGTGAAAAGCTTACTGAAGTTGATTTTGATAAAAGACAGAATCTTTTGTCTGATTCCTCATATTTTCGTTATATCCACTTTCATCCCTACATGCTTGCTTTAATTCTATGACTGGATTGACTCTTAGAGAGATGGAAGAGAGAGTTTCTATAGGGAGGAGAACAGGGATAGAAATGTGTTTTACCATCTGACAGAATACAATTGGCCCCCACTTAATCGGAAAAGAGAGACTCAGAATAGAGGGAACCTTTCGGCTCGTCCTCATCAGCACTGCTTGGACCTCTATAATTTACTATAACAATCTCAATTACCGACCTTCTTTTTATTTAAATCAGAACCCTACACGTGAATCGTTATTCTTTTCAACACTTCCAATATGATGAGTATTGGAAATACAACTTGATGTATAATCCAGATTTAAATAGATTATGCTCCGGTCTTTGTTATCAAATATTTTATTTTGTTTCTTTATGTAGTCCAACAAGAAAGAATTTTTAATTTATCAAACTCCATATACAACTTACAAGGAAATGAATCAAAACAAAATTAAAATAAACTTCAAAAGAAAAAAAAGGGGGGGGGGAATGTGTTAAATCTTTGAATCCAAAAGATGTGAACTTTACATTTGGGTTAGTATTCGAAACACTATCAATGGAATATTTTAATTCCACCCATAGTGTTTAAACACTTCCATATACCCATTTTTATACATATTTTTTTTCTATATTTTATTACATCCTTTATATCACATGTCATCCATCCCAAGTGTTTAAGCTCATCAACAATGGCTGAAAAATGCCTGTTTTTGTTGGTTCAACTCAGCTCAAGTTTCTTTATCTTTGTCTTTAACTTTATCTTTACTTTTCATCTTCTCAACAAAATGCCTCCCCTTCTCCTCCATGTGACGCTTCTTTTCTCCGAATTTCTCCCCCATTCGCTTCTTGAAATCGCGTAGCTTCGCCCTCCTCCCCGTCTTCGGCCCCCAATCATTGTCGTCTGATCCTGCACTGTGCCTTCCGAGCTCTCTCATGGACCTACAATATATTGACGACAAACTCGAAGCTTCCTCTAAATTCTGATGCATTCTATCTTGTAGGTCATCAGTTGTGGGATGAGGAGTTCCTAGATCACGCAGAGACCTGTAACTTGAACAAGAAGAAAGTACAGGCATTGAGCTTATCAAGTCTGGCTTTGGAACCCCTTGCTGCTTCCGGAATCGAATCCTTGCTTTCTAGATCACTATTCGAGGCGCTCCCACAACTTTCGTTCGCTTTTGATTCGGTAACCTGCGGAGCTGGAGCTTCACGCTTATCGGAACAGCCTTCTTGAAGCCATATGTATGGGGCATCATTCCTTGGGATCCAATCATCTTTTTCTGCTAACATCCATGGAATGTATGCACTCTCACAATTTGGAAGCACCATAGTTTCCCGTATAGCCGCCTACACAAATCACACGCGATTTTCTTTCATGAGATCAATGCCGAATCCGACAATGAAACTCTTGATGTGACAAAAGATAAAAGTTGTGGCACTTATTCGCCAGCAATGCTCGAACCCCAAGACCGAAGATAGAAAAAAGCAAGAAGGTCTATAACTATTTGAATGATCATATCAGGTAATGCATGTCATTGAAAGGGTAACTTTTGCTTAGCATGACAAACATGCAAAATCAATCAATAACAATACCGTCTGCAAACGAAGGAATAAATATGGAATTGTCTTCGAGCAATATGTCACTACGTAACAAATCGAATTTGTACCTTAAACCGATTGACCAAGAATAACGCGATATGTCCATTAGTAATCTTGTGATCCCCGACCGAAGACTCGAGGTCGAACTCTATGTCGGGCATTGATGTGAAGCCAAACCATAACTGATCAGAAGGAGGTGGCCTTATATATAAACGCAGTGTTCCTCGAAGGGATACAACCCTTACTGACAAAGTCAAAGGCACCTCCAATTTGAAATATCATTTAGTTTAAGCACAACAAGAATAAAATCTTTACAACAACAGACATCCTAACAGCATGCTCAGTTCACTATAACATAATGAAACCATCCATACAGAAACAGTTTATTGTTATTATTAACCAGCTAAGTTTTGTTAAGAACATGTTTGGCCTATTTTATACATGATACGAGTATTTCACTAAAATTGCTATCAGTGACTCTTATTTTATATGATTTTCTGCAGGCTAAGAGCCTCACTAGTCAGATTCAGAAGCTTACAAACTTCCACAACAAAGTGCTATTGCCCTTCGATTACTATTGAAAATAATCTAGTTTCCTCAAGGCTTCTTCAAATTTGCTTAGACCTTTTAAATCATTCAGTTCATAAACGCCAGTTTCCGAAAAAAATCAGCTAGAACTAATCACTAATCATGCCACCTAAAAGCTAATCCAAAAGCATATACAGTAACTGCTTCGAGCAATAATTTCAGCTGACTTGTACACCAAATGCAGCAATGTGTTTGATATATCCAACTTTATAACAGTTCCAAACTCTAATTTTATTACTGATGTTTCTCTATCAGACTGAACTATTAGTTCCTCTGTTCCAAAAAACTTGTCACATGCGCCAAATTTTATGTATTGGAAGTTATTTTGACCTTTCCACCTCATCACTTATAGATCCAAACGATCTAACTAATTTAATGTCAAAATATTCCTCATTTCATACTTATATTTGGACAAAAGCCTTCGACTCATTAGGTTATGTTTCTCTCGTGCAATCATTTTAAAGAATAAACAATTTTACTCCCAAAATTAACTGCATTAGTACCCCCATACCTGGGGACTGGAGATAGAGAAGGACTCCATCTTTGAATGAGGAAATTTAAGGGCTCATCCAAGCCCTTAAATGTTTCCATTTTTCATTTATTTATTTATGCTGCTTCCAAAATAAAACTATTATGCAGTATAAGTTACATGAACATAGGCAATAAAAAATGTGTCTACAGTATTTTGCCGAGTATCAACAACAGAGATAGCAAAAACTCCACAAAACATCCAAAGCACCAAAGCAAACAAAGACGTAAACAATCCTCGATATTCACCAGAGAAGGGAATGGGTGGCTAGCTGCATTCTGGAGTTAGCACCTGTTCTGATCCCGAAGAGAAAAAATAATTCTGATTTGGAGACTTTTTTTTTTCAAATGGATGTATGACATGGGAAACAAAGGAAACTGACATGCACTACTTGATTGATGGGACCTAAAAGCGATGTGGTTGGATAAAATATTTCTCTTTATGGACAGAGTGACTATTCAATTCCCTTTCAACATTTAAAAACCAGCCTCTCCTTCACTCCATCTTCCTCAACATCAACTTCCTTAAACTCTATATTATTTAGCAGCAGCTGCATCTCCCTCCATTCCATCGACCTCATAATCTTCTAACCAAAATTTCACCTCTAATTTGAGTCTCAACTGCATGGAACAGAAATCTAGCCTAAAGATTAACTAGCATCCAAAATAATAAATTCAATTTTAATTTTTTTAAATGTATATGGGTAGTGTAAAATATGTATCCAGACATGTAGGTCATATCCATGTCAAACATAAATATGATACAAATATGCAGATGGTATAGCTAAGTTTGTGCTTCATAACACGTAACTAAAAGTTTTCCATGATATTCTGGTACCAGCCAGCTTAAGAGATACTTCAGGCAATAACTATAAAGTTCAACTTGCATGCTCCTAGACTACTCCATATCTGGGGTTAAAATATTTTTATGAGTTGAAAGAACTTTGATTGGAATTTAAAACAAGGGTTCCTCTATATTCTTAAATACAAGTTGAAACAACTTTGATTGGAAGATATAGAGTTGATGATCATTGAATTCCATTTTTATGAGTTTATTTAACCAGAAACGCCTATATGTATAAGAGATGCGCACACCTGTGAAACCTGCTTGGCTATGTTATTTAGGACAGACTTCAACCGAGAACCCGATTTATCTTTAGACCCTTTTCCACAATCTGAAACATGAAGAGAGTGAAATCAAAAGATGAAATAGGACATTCATCCTAACCAAATCAAGAGAAATAAAAAAGACAAGTAGAGGATTGATTTAGAATTTATACTTCGAATAAATAGGTTAAGCTACAAAAGGGTGCATCTGAAAAAAAATGCCTACAAAGTAAAAGTTGCACCACCTTTGAATAAAAGAAAAGTAGAGTGAAGCAAAGTGAAATGTTGAACTTATTAATTTGGAAATTTCAAGGCGGAGTGAAGCGAAAAGAGGTCAAAAACATTATTCATGCATTCCTCTCCATACTACTGTAATTATAGATCAACAAAATGTAAATAGATTAGAAGATAAAGGAAGCTAATTAAATTTAGTATAATTTTACAAATACATCCATTAAGTTCCTCGATGAAATAAGGATATAAATTCTCTGGTTTCTCTCCTTGGCTGAAATACAAACAAGTAGACAGATAATTTGCAGTTTACTCTAAGAACCACTTCATGTTTCTCCCATTATTTATTTCTTTAAGTTTCTTTCCATGTCGGATTGGGGAATAGTGACTGAATTAAAAGTACCAACCATAACTGCTCCTCGGGCTATATTTGGAATCAAACAAAACCACAAGATTCAATATAATTTCAGACAATGGAAATGGAGGCATAAAAGCACATTTCAGAAAATGATATATGATCGTCTTTGGCTGAGGGATGAAATAGGACAGTTCGGGCTGGAAGTTGAGTTGGACTCTGAGGTGGTGGTCAATTGGCCGCGGGATGTTTCGAAGATCCCAGCGGAATGGTCATCTTTACTTCTACCCATTGTGACCAATTTACTTCAAGATAATGTCGCTCTCAGTTTCTCTCCTAGAAGGTGCAATGCGATGGTCGACTTTCTAGCAAGACAGGTGGTTTTGGGAGGAACTGTCCAGCAGCCCTAGTATGAGTTTTAGTTTTGTTGATACAGTAGATATACTGCTGCCCTCGGTTTCTGGTCTATTGTTTGTATCTGTCCCTAAGTAGTTTGGTTAATAGCTCTAAGTGTGGGATCTTCTACTAGGAGGCCAAGTGTTGTTGTGCGGTCTTTGTTAGGGTGCACTCTTTTTCCTCCACTTAGGATTAGGGAGGTTTTTTAATGAGTCCCTTAGCAAGGCCAGTTTTTTCTTTGAAATGAATAAAGTCGTTTACCTTTAAAAAAAAATATGATATATGATAGAAATGCAAAGAAGAATCCAGGGAGTAACCTGCATGGGATTTTATACAGTTAGTATTATTTACAGGCCTCAACATAGACCACCTAAGGATAAGAGTTATAGTTCTTTTAGCACTTGGCTGAGTAGGAGGCTATTCAAATAGTGCTCTTTCTTTAGGAAGATGGATCATTTTGAAGCTTTTCCCCGTTTATTTATTCATTTTTTCTGTTTTTCTTAGATTTTCAGAGCATAATTCAACTATAAACACAAGCCCCGTATTCTCAAATCCTACCAAAGCTGTCCTATACTAGCCTCATCTCACCTTTGAATTGAAAAACATGTAATCCAAGGAAAAATTCCTCGAATCAATTAATCATGCCTATTCCCTTTGCATGATTCCTTCATGGTTTACTAGATCTCAGATGGCAAAGCCGACCACAAGGCTAGCTAATGTGACTAAACCTTATACAATAGATAACAAGAAACCAAGATAATAGGCATCTCATATACATAGTCATGCTACCTGCTTCTCTTCATAAAACCTCATATACTAAGAGGGACATCATTGATGGAAAGATAGAAAGAGATGAAAACTCGAGGAAAGAGACTTGGAGTAAGCAAGGCCTTCCATCTTGGAATTTTTCTAAGTTCACCAATATGTGTCCGAGTGCTTTGAATATAAATGGAAATTCACTTTTTTGACAACTTCATAGTTAAAGAATTAACAAACTGTATGCATGCATCATGCATATCTTTTTGAGCCATTTTTAATGGAAAGTGCATAAAAATTCAGTATCATTATTATACTAACCAATTCTAGGGTCGACAAAATCCTCTTTATTAAGATTCAAATGCTTTCCGAAATGTTCAAAGCCTTCAAGAAGGTCTGAAGACATATTCTCGACAGAGTTTCCTTCAGAATTTGTATCCTCTAAGCCTTTCTGAAAATCTAGGTCACGGACTTCAATTCTTGTCTCAACATCCATCAGAACTCCACCACAATACTCAGCATCAACCTCGAATGCCGATACCTCATTCATGTCATTGCCAAGAAGCCTCATCGCATGGATATAAGGTGGGAGATTCCCAATGTCTATGTTAGTACAAAGGACTTCACCTATGTAATTAGGGGTCCTCATGTTGGATAATGTTCTCTGTTATATCAAATCATCAGAACAATCATCAATGGACATTGAAATACTTTCCAGAAGAACTAACTACAGAAAAAGTAGACAGCAAAATGAAGAGTGGGGTGGAGACAATCGGGCAGAGTAGACTTACTCAGAAAATGTAATAGATAAACCAACATGAAATATGAAGAGGCAATACCAAGCATAAGACAAAAGGGAAAAAGGAAAATAACATCTTAACTTGGTGACTTTCTAACCTGAATCCGTGCTTGAAGGGAACTTTTCAACGCTGCATTGGCTTTGATGTCAAAAAAGACTCGAGAAATTATCAAGTTCCAGCAAAGTATTCCTTCATCAGAATTATGCTTTTCATGTTCAGACTCAACGTCAGAAGCAGCAGCAGCAGCATTTTGACTTGCTGAACGAGGAAAACCTTGTGGTGGTGTAAACACCATATTTTCCTCAGTTGAAGTGTTAAGCGACTTGTTTGACACTGATTCTTGGCATAGATGCTGTTTCTCACAAGCCTTCTTCTCCTCACAGGCGGATTGATTACTTGAATTTCCCTTTTTGTCACTAGCTTTTGAATTCTTTTTTGACAACCTTTTCCAAAATAATTTGACTTTTGATATAGATCCATCCGACTTGCTTCCCCTTTCCGTTGGCTCAGCACTGAAGCCTAAGGAGGGCTTCATAAATGAGGAATATCCAGCACTTAGCAATGCCATGTAAGCATGGAAGTCCACATTCAACTTGGTGAACCATCTGTTATTTTCCTCACATGAAGCAAGACGAAGACCTTTGCACCAAGACTCCTTTTCCCAGGCAGTCTCCAGATAAAGGTAAATTATTTTACTTCCATTGTATAGCGAACTCTTGCTCTCAACTTTTATCGGATATCTCTTGGCCCTGTCAAACCATTAATTCGAAGCAAAGGAATGAAGGAGAGTCAAATGTCTTGAAAGCTCATAACTAGAACAAATGATTAAGCTTATATCAAATTATGTTACATGGACTCGTATATCAATTTCGGAAACTGGTATGTGTCTACATGTCTGACTTGGCTTTTGATTAAAATTTCGGACTTGCAGAGCGCGCTAAAAGTATTCAAAAAAATTATTTACAGGTACATGAAATGAGATAACATTGTCTAAAATAAAACTTCATAATGCAATATCACTTATAAAGAAACATATTTATTTTTATATTCATTCATGTAATTTTATGTAATAATATTTGAACACGATGGCTTTTTAATTCATTACGGATTCTTTACTAGCCATAAATTCAACTCGGACCCCAAATGCAGGAGTAAAAAGACCACGTCGATTTTTTTAATAGAGTCAGAATAGTACCCAATATCCTATACTACCATTGAAGAACGTTCATATCAGAATCAAACTACAGAAATGTTGAACCAAACTTCTTCTTCCTCCAATTGCAGGAGTACAAAGATCATGTCTACTATTGTAATAAAGATTCGTAAAAATATTCAATATCCTGTACTTACCGAAGAAGAGTCAAACATGAGTACGACAATCATTACAAGAAAGTATGTGGCCGATGGCATCTATAATCTTCAAATGACAATGACATCATATAAATTTCAAAAAATGGAGGAAACTATCACTGTCATCTCTGTTTCGATATATTAATAACAAAACATCGATTCTATAAAACGAATGGACAAATGATGGAAAGGGGGGCACAATACCATTTCCTGGAGGGCAAGTTAGTAGCAGAAACAGCCTGAATGATGCAGCCCTTGAGAGGAATAAAGATGCAGGACGAATCGGAACTCGTGAGAGTCAGGTACCGATCCTGGATTTTGGCATGTTTTCGAACAGGAGTGACCTCTATCGTTACATCCCTTCTTCTCTTCTGCTCTTTGGATGAAATTTTTTCTGAATCAAGAACCCAAACAACCCCCTAAGACAAAGATAACGATGAATTCAAAATCCCACAAAAATTATCCTAGCAATCGCAACAAAAAATAACAATCTGGGGTTCTCTAAAATCGTCATTACCTGCATGTTTTGGCAAATGGAATCGAGGGAATGCTGGGGATTCCGAGCTGCTGCTGCTGCCGCATCGGTTTCATGTTTGATCCTTCGTTGGATTTTGCGATTCAATAGAGCCACCACAACCAAAAATACTATCAGTTCCAAACCCAGGACTGCAAGAATCCCAGCAACAAATCCAACGAAGAATGCTATCAACATCCTTCCGAATTATATGTATATATTTATTTATTTATTGTTTTGATTCCATTTGCAACTGTTCTATTCATTGTTTGTTTGTTTGTTTGTTTTTTACATTTTTTAATTAAAGAAGAAATTGATAGGAAAATTAAAATAGTAAATCGCAAAAGGAATTTGTCATTCTATGCAACATTCTTTGATTCTCCTTAAACTATTCCTTGTTCTTCCGGAATTCGTGCACCATTGCACTCTACAAAACGTTCAGTTATAATATGCAAAAACAATACAGTTATGAAAAATAACGGCATCCAATATTGTACAAGTCCCTATACTATAGCTTGACTTAATTTTTGGTTCCTATACTTAAAAATGACAACAAAAAAAGTTAGGGTGAGCTACGTATTTAGTTTACCAACTATCACTTTAGTTTCATTTTGATCACTCAACTATTTTCTTTTTAATTTTTTTGGATAAGTAAGTTATATTTCATCCAAAAATGCAAACTAGCTGCTACAACCAACAAAATTACCTCACTAGGACAGACCCCAATTCAAGTATAAACGCCTATTAACATCATCAAGCCTAGACATGCCATATCTACACAACTTGACTCTTACAGCCACTTTTATACTATTTACAATTACATCAGCCGAGTGAGACAAGCCCCTAAAAAAGCCTATGGTTACGCTCTTCCCAAATAGAATACAGCAGTCCAATCCAAGCAAGTTTCAGGATACAAACTCTGAGGGATTAGCCCTTCAAATTTGCAATCAACCAATTAAAAAGATCATCCCAATTGTTTAGGTCATAGCGAACATCACAGGAGGTTAGAACAATATCCCACACTTCCCTAGCAAAAGAATATTCAGCAAAGAGATGATCTCGAGATTCAATGCCAAAGCCACACAAACCACAAACATTATCAATAGCCAAACCAAAACGGACAAGCCTATCTTTAGTAGGCAACCTATCGAGAATGACCATCCACGAGATTAAAGAGAATTTGGGGATGTGAGCAGGGAACCAGATCAGCGTGTGCCAGTTTACCTTCACCCTGCAATCCCAGATATTGTCCCAGATCCATTTGCCTTTAATAAGGCTCCATTTGGCACAAGGAAAGAATAATCGTCTAGCCTCCTCTCGCATACTCAGAAGTTTGCTCAGGATCCAACTGAAATGGGCTTTGCACTCTACATCCCAAAAGCTAGTTGTTTTGAGACAGTACTCTTTAATACAGACAATCCAAAGGGAGCCTTCATTAGACAATATGTTTTTTACAAGTAGCAGACATCAAGCTTTATTCCATACTACTAGGTTTCTAAGACCCAACCCACCCTCAGACTTCAAGGAGCTGATCTAATTTCATCCCACACGAGCTCCTTTTGCTGAGGAATCACTACCCTTCCAAAAGAAACGCATACAAAGGTGTTCAATGTCCCTGATGATCCCCTTGGGAAAAACTAGCTGCCTACTCCAATAGTTAAAAATGCTGAACAGTACAGTTTTAACCAATTGGAGCCTACCACCATAACTCAGGTTCTTGTTAGACCAATGCCTAAGCTTGTCCTTAATCTTTGTCAATAGAGTTTCACAGTCTTTACCTGTGAGTTTGCGGGTCACCAGTGGCACCCCAAGATACCTCACAGGGAGTTGTCCCAACCTAAACCCAATAGCCAATCGGATTTGCTCCAGATCAAGCATATTCAAACCACAAGCATACAGTTCTGTCTTCTGAGCATTCAGTTTAAGGCCATATAGCTCATAATGCTTATCTAAAGTGCTTTGCACTCCTAACACAACATCTAAAGAGCCATGACAAAAAACAAGCAGATCATCCGCAAAGCAAAGGTGTGTGAGAGATATTCTTCTACACTTAGGGTGAAACTTAAAGATACCATGTTTTGCAGCAGCATCTAAGAGAGTGGACGGAACATCTATGGTAATGACAAATAGGTAAGGAGATATAGGATCTCCTTGCCTAATCCCCCTGGCTCCTTTGAAGTACCCCACCAAGCTACCATTTAAAGAAATAGAGAACATTGGAGTAGTAATGCAGGCCTTAATCTAGTTACAGAAAATATCAGGGAGCCCTATAGCAACAAGTACATTCAACAAGAATTCCCAACTAACATAGTCAAAAGCCTTCTGTAAATCAATTTTGACTGCACATCTAGGTGAAAGGCTTTTCCTAGAGTAGCCTTTAACAATTTCCTGAGCTAGCAAGGTGTTATCAACAATGTTTCTACCCTTGACAAAAGCTGACTGACTAAGGGATATCATGTCAGGGAAGAAAGGGGCTAGTCTATTAACAATAATTCTTGTGATAGTTTTATAAACTACTGAACAACAAGAGATAGGTCTGAATTCTTTTGTTAGGCATGCATTAAGGGATTTAGGCACCAAAACTATGACAGTGGCATTGAATGCAGACAGTAAACAAGAGGACTGGAAAAAATACCTCACAACAGAAATAAAGTCAGTACCTACAGTGTCCCAGGCAACCTTGAAAAACCTAGAGGTATAACCATCAGGGCCTGGGCTCTTGTCCTTTCCTTGCTTAAACATGGCCTCCTTAATCTCCATATTACCCACCTCTCTGGTTAAAAAATCAGCATCTCCTTCTGGCAAGGAATAGTTTAGCAGACCTTTTAGATCCTCAACAGAACTGCTCCTGACTAAAGGGTTCTCAACACCAATCAGGTTAGTAAAAAAACTCACTAACTCTGTAGCCATGCCTTCAAAAGTGTCATAATATTGATCATCTTCTCCTTTAAAAACTCACTAACTATTTTCTTTTTAAAATCATCACTAGACATTTCAATTTCATTTTGGTCCCATCGTTACAAAATTATCAGAACTTCTAACGTGCCATTTTCAGTGATGGTGTGGCATTACCTTGTGATGACACGTCAACATTACTGTTAAATAAAATGAAACCAAAACGTGAAATTAGTGATGATTTTGAAAAAGAATAATTGAGTGACCAAAACAAAACTAAAGTCATAGTTAGATGGTTAAATTTGTAGTTTACCCAAAAGGTTATTATGTTATAAAAAAAAGAGAAAAATGGTTGTTTTAGGTAACAATTGGAGAAAAAATTTATTAATTTTATGGTTCGTTATTGATTTAAAAGATAAGACATAATATGTAGAAAATCAAGATAGGATTTTTTTTGCTAGATTAGGTTAAATATAACTAGGTTAATATAAGTAAAAAAATAGGTCATATAGCAACCAAAAAAAATGATATATTTTTATTTTAGGATTTTATTTGTTGGAGCATCGTCGATCATAGGTTATATGATCATCAACTATCACCTCTTTTATTTTCTTCTTCTTCTTCTTTCTTCTCATCGTGTCCCAATCTTACACCCCTTGCACCTCTTACAAGTCAACAAAATTTTTTCTCATCGTAAGGACAAGGATGCAAGGGCGTTGAGGTTTGCACAACAAGTATTTGGTCTAGGGTTAGATGAGGTAACTTTTTTGGATAGAGAGGGTAAAGAAATAAACTTTTAATAGTTTAGGAGTTAAATTAGAAATTAATGTACTATGTTATCAAATTAAAGAAAATTAACAGCTCAATAATCAAAATAAGATATCGATAACGTAAGTGATTAAGTCATTACTTTTTCCAAAATCGAATACCATAATACGATCAATTGATAATGTGTGTGACCAATTAAACCTCTTTTTGAAAACTGATGATCAAAATAAGATAGACGAAAAATAAAAGGGATCACTAGTGTAGTTTTCTCTGGAACAAAGCATAGGAAGGCAAATCCCAAATTCCCAAAGGAACATTAACAAGGTTTTCCTAAGCAACTCAAGGACACAATTGCAAATTAAGATTTGCTCAAGAAACTACCAACGAAAAACGAATAATCCATTTTTTTAATTTTTTAATTATTACTTATAAATATTAAAAAATATCGAAATAAAATTTTAGTTACAATGGAGGGAAATATATGTCTCATTTTGTAACAAAATCCAATGTTTAATATTCATTTTGTAACTTCTGAAGTTAACTGAAAAAAAGTAATTTTGAAATAGTTCACTGACCATCTGTGAACTTTATCCATAAAACTACTGCTCCAAAACAATCTGCTTTCGAATCTATCTTTCAATTTTGTTATTTCCATCTGATTACCCATTTCTTTTCTCTCCACCAATTTGGCTGCTTGAAGTATAAAAGTCTCTATTTGAGCTTCTCCAAATTTCTTCTACAATTGTTAGTTCGATCTCCAATATTTTCTGGGTTCTCTCTCTCTCTCGCTGTTTCGCATTTTTTTCTCATGGGTTTTGGTATTTATATGTTAAAAAAGCTCCTTTGGGTGTAAATTTAAAATAAAAAGCTTCTTTAGCAGGGAAAATCGATTTCTGTTTGGGAACCTGTAATTACTGATTTTGAGTTACATATATTTTTCAACTTCGCCATTGAATACTGATTCTTCCATGTTGGTTTGTGTAGGCAATTATCGTCAGGTATTCTTTGCGGTTAAAATACTTGAGAGACCATGCCTGCTTCAAAGAAGGTTTGATTTACATCTTTCCTGCTTGCCATGGGTCTCATTCTTTCCTGTAGGCAATTTTTAGTAGTCAGTACATTGTGGTTCTGTTGTATTTTGAAGCAACTAGGTCTTTTTCAAGATATGGTAAATTTTCTTATTGCATTTTCGTTTTTTTTTTCCAGAGTTCTGATTGCAGTCACATTGGCTATGCGTTCGATAAGTTGTTGAAGCAAATCGGACATCCAGTTGATTTTGAACTGCCAGATTGGTTTAATAAGTGGAAACCTACACCATACACCTTTATAAGGCGCAGTATCCTTTTTTTTTCTCGTAAATGGCTCTTTTCACGCCTATGACCTTCATCTTGTGCTTTCCATTTTGTTTCTAAGATATGACTTTCCTTTGATTATATATGTCTATGGATTGCTGATTTTGTTGGTTTAACAACTTAAGACATATATCTTACAAAGAGGATTAAAAGGCGCCTGGATGATGACGGCATCTTCTGTTCTTGCACTTCATCCTCCGGTTCTGGTGTTTGTGGCAGAGATTGCCACTGTGGGTAAGATTTGTCTTAATTGATCAGAATTCACGATTGAACTACATTATAAGTGATTGTCTTTGGATTTTGAAAGTGTAAACATTTTTTATATTTTTGGTTTGCATACGTGTTACTTTGATTTATCAGAAAGTTATTGAAGTGAATTTCATCTTGAGCCTTAAATGGTATGTTATCATTGGATTAGAACCCCATATCAGCGCAAGACTACTGTACCCCAGAAATTGTTTTCAGAAGATGCTTTATCTTACATACTTTTCTTTTACGTTATACCATGTGAGAGGTTAATTTAACTTGGCTTTATGGATTTGTAGTGGGTTAAGTTTGGGAAATCTCTGCTTACGTTTTATCAGCTTGGCATAAACTAGGGTTATTATAGTGTCTGTGGTCAAGGTTGCTGGAACTTTTTGCAGCTGCTAGATAGGTGTTTGCCCTTTAGTGATGTTTTCTTTGGTGATAGCATGCACGTGATATGGGTTAGAACTTTGAAAGTATACAGTTCTTATAAACTACCTTACTTGGACCCATGTTCGACACTTGTGTTTGATACATTACGAACATGAATTTGGGATGTGACCCTTAAAAGATCCTCCAAACACACGGAAAACTTGGAACAAATTGAACGTGCCTATGTCAGACACTACCATTATCCAGTATTCACACTAATTTAAGTAACATAGATTATAAATATTTAGTATGTAGATAACTCTTTTTTTGACTTTTTGGTGTTGTGGACATCAGCCTAATCTACCGTGTCAGCAGAGAATTGAGAGTTATCATGAACGGACAAGAAAAAGAAAAAATTTCAAGCCATTTTTGTTGAAATCAGTACTGTTTTAGAACTTGATTTCAATGTTACCTTCACAAACCAAAAAGAATAGTTTTTGGGCTGAGGAATAACATGTGATTTGGTTGACTTATCTTCTTACTCTGCACAAGTACTATGGAGTTGCGTATGTAATATTATTGTTACATGCAGGATGCTACTGTCTAGTTGCTCTTCTGGCTGCAGCTGTGGGAGTTCTTGCCTCAATAAACCATTCCAAAACCGACCTATCAAAAATTTGAAATTGATTCAGGTATAGTTTGGATTTTTCTTAATCTTGATTCTATCTGTGTTTTGTTGAAGTTTTCATCAGACCAAAATTCTATCCATGTCTAAAATGGAATGAGTATCCTTTACCGCAAGTCTTGAAACCCTTTAGGATCTGTAGAAGCATAAGGGAAAGAGCTGATCTCTTCCGAATAATAGCTACACTTGCCTATTTTACCTTCCCTTTTTTATTGAAAGATTATAACATGGATTTGTTGGCATGACACTGTTAATAAAAAAAATCTTGTGTCCGTATTCCAAGAGACGGTTTGTGCATTTTGTTGGAAACTGGTTACTCTCAATTGACGTTTCTTGTTTGTACACTTTGAAATGTGAAATTAAATGAGGTAATACTTGTAGACCGAGAAATGTGGGGCAGGCATTGTGGCAGATGAAGATATTAAGCACGGAGAGTTTGTAATAGAATACGTGGGGGAAGGTATGTAACTCTGGCCCTATCCATTGTAGTTCCTATCCCTATAATAAGCAGTTCATATTTTACTTTTTGAAGTTTGTAAATTTTTTTAATAATCTTTTGTCACTGTAGTTATTGATGACAAAACATGCGAGGAGAGGCTTTGGAAGATGAAGCATCGTGGAGAAACCAATTTCTACTTATGTGAAATCAATCGTGATATGGTAATTGATGCCACATACAAGGGGAACAAATCCAGATATATAAACCATAGTTGCTGCCCCAATACTGAGATGCAGAAATGGTTCTCTACCTATCCATATTAGTAGACGTGCATTAATATTAAGTGATATGCTAATCTCACACTTTTTTTGTTTATTTTTTCTTTGTCAGGATAATCGATGGTGAAACAAGGATTGGCATATTTGCATTGCGAGATATAAAAAAGGGCGAGCCTCTGACCTATGATTATCAGTATGAATGCTTGCCTGACTCGCTACATGTGAAAAGAAACGTGTCATTTCATTCACGGATAATAAAATCAATCCTTTTTCCATATGAAATGCTGAGGTCGCTGGTATTGGTTCCTTTGAAACCATTAGTCTCGGTACAATCTAACAAATTTAGCAGGTTTGTTCAATTTGGTGCAGATCAAGATTGTCACTGTGGTGCGGCTGGCTGCAGGCGAAAGCTGGGGGTCAAACCTAGCAAGACGAAGATGTCATCAGATGCTGCAGCATTAAAGCTAGTAGCATGCCAAGTGGTAATGTCCTCTCTGACAATGAAAGTTGTGTTATCCGGAATAGATGTACGTATTAAGAAGCCTTTTTCTCAATATCAAGAATACAAGATGCGTTTCGAAGTTCGAACATTCCTTCCCTAGTTACTTTGTGGTCATGGTTTAGTTCTATCTTTCGCAATTTGGTTATGGTTTCAAGGCCTTTTGACCTATTCACTCCTTCCCTCTCTCCCTTCTAAATCCTAATTCTTTGATCCTTTGTAATTAATTTCTTTTCATACCCATGATGTATACATCAACGACCCATTGTTATTTGATTGTGACCGAGTTGTTTTATTCTTTTTGGTTATGCATTGTGGTCTTCAGCAAAAAAACTTGAACTAATTATCCTTTTTTTTTGTGTGGATTAAGCAGAATGGAAGTTTGCCTGCTGGTAAGTGAATTCTCCTTTATCCTCTTCTTATATTAAACTCTGAGTGAATCAAATGTTTAAATCTAGCACTTAATTTCAGGAACTTCTCGGCATGCTTATAATCAACAGCAGATGCGTTTTCGATGTTGCATCGGTGAAGTGATCAAAATGTCTCGTCCGATAAATGATAGGTATGTATGATCGATTCGACTTTGCGAATATTGTAATAGGTTTAGTTGTATAAATGGCCTGTTCTTGCGATTAATTTCTTTTCCTGAATGGTTAAAGAATCCTGCATCATGTCCCTCTTGTTATGAGTCCATTGTTAGAGATATCTTGTCTCTTGTAATGTCTAAAGTGGTTTTACTTCGCCTTATTTAGAGAAGCGCTAATTGGGAAGCGGATGAGTAGCAAAAAGAGGGATTGGCTGATGTAAGGAATTTCTGGGTCTAGTTTAGGTGGTTTGCTTATTGTAATGGGGTGTCTCTTGTGATCAGGTTGTACTGTTGTGGGTTCTTTTAAACCCTTTTCTTAATAATACTTGAGGTACTCTTTTCTTGCTTCCGGTGTTTGTCGGTCTACCTTTATGGTATATTGACAATTAAGAAGGGGGGTTTTAATGAGTTATAAAAAAAATTCTTTTCCTGAATCAAATTATAATATCATAATGAAAGAAAAAAATTCTTGGAAGAACATTGGATGGTTTTGTAGACAAGGGAAATTCACTTTCATATATTTCAAGTGACGAATACAATAGGGTACACAAAAGAAGTTACCAGTTGGCTTAGAAAGATGAAACTAGGAAACTAAATCCGAATCGGATGAGGTTTTATAAAACAAGTCATTCAGATCGTTCTTAAGTCGGCTAAATATTTCAGATTGCTTCTGTTAGTCGGCTAAGTATTTGTTAAGTACCGTAGGTTACAGATCCTGTTTCGTACAGATCCTTACAAATTTCGTTTCTGATTGAAAACTTTCAGTTACTTTGGGATTATTAAACGATTCGACAAGTATTCAAAAAGGCACACGGTAAGAAAGTCTTCTTTTCCTTTTTGTGTTTAAGTACAACGATAATATGCAAGTTAAGTGTTTTTATGTGGTTGCAGGTCATGTTCGAAAATGGTGGCGTCGAATTTCTCGATCTCTCGAAAGAGGATTGGGAGCTCATCACTTTGTAAGGTCAACCATAGGTAAATGGAATTGATATAGAGTGTTTCGCCAAACAATTTGGCTGCCATCAAGACTCTTAGGAAACCATCGGTTTAGTGCTTGGAGATACATATAATTGCTTGAGTTACAATTTAGCATATTCGAAATAAACAGGGAATTGTACAAGTGTTTGTAGATTGATTTACGCTCCATCGAGATGAGTTTCAACATCTTGTTTTTGATAACAATGGTGAGTACATAAATGGTATTAAGTCGGAAAAGTTTATGTCTGGAATCGATTGTCTTGCAGGTACACCGCTGTTAAAGAAGAAATGTTAGCGGAAAGCCTGATACGCCGAGAAAATGACCGGCTTCGGTTGCATTCATATGCAATGTACTCGTGTTGTATTTTTTATTCTGCACAATGAGACATCAGTGTGGTTAATCTTTCTTTTACGAGTGTTTTCCCATCTTTGTTGTACGAGGCCAAGGGATGTTGTATTTTTCTTTCATTTTTGTTTAGGAAAAAAAAAACATAATCTTCCATTCTCCCCTTGAGGTGTGTTTGTACTCACCTAGATTTCTTTTTAATCAAAAAGGAAAAACAATAACATTCACCAATAAGCAAAGAAGAGCTGGCTTCAGGGAGATAATAGAATTTGTGGCGACGAAGAACATGACCGATGACGAAAGAGAGAACGAACATCGTAATTTGAAGGAGAATCCCAACTCCCGTGGCCTGCTGCTCTTGTACGGGACTCACTCTCTCTGCGGCCGAATTCTTCATCTTTTCAGTTTTTGAAAGGACGAGGACACGGGAATCAAATGATCAAGGAATACTGCCGATAATGGCCTCCTCATCGACAGCAAGTTTTCCGATGACACCTATTACCGTCGACTTCTACTACTATTTTGTTTTTATGGTGAATTACATAAATGATCTTTAAAATTCGAGTAAATTTATGTTTTCAGTACTAAAGTTTCAAAAGTAATGAAACGATCACTAAAGTGATCGGTTTATAATAAATCTATCGGTTAACAATCATTACTACAACACACATGAGTCTGATGTGACATATTTAGCGGTTTAAAATGGTATTATTTGGCCACGTGTACACCCTTTGGTCAATTACTATACAAATCTCCTGCCCTGCTTCGTACCCTTTTCGTGCTCCTTTTAAAATCATACCATGTGTATATATATATATATATATTTTTACATTTTCTCCTTTGTATTTCAATTAGAATTCCTTTTAAAAAAAATTAATTAAAAGTAAAAGTATAAAAATTAATTAAGAGGTAGAAAAATGGTAAAAAACAAATTTATTTGTGCTGTTTCAGAAAATCTTTAATTGATAATTTTTTGAATGATTAAATATTTAAATTAAAAATTATATAAATAATTAAACTTTTAAAAGAGACAAATAAGTGAACAATCTTTTCAAATTATATAAAATAAGAAATTATATTATGCTTGAGTGGAGTTAATTACAAATGTTCCTAAATTATTTCTTAGATTAGAATTAGTCCTAAATCATCATACATTTTAATTAACTTAAAATATAATTATTGAATAATAAAAATATATAAATTATTTTATAAATTTAAATATAAAAAATTTAAATCTCATCTTAAAATTTTTACAATATTAAAAAATAAATATAATGATTAATTGACACAATTTTAATTGAAATAAATTTATAATTTAAGAAGTTTGTTTATATGATAATTTTTTTATAAATAAATAATTAGACATTTATTTTTTAAAAAATACAAATAAATTAAATAAACTTTTTAAAACATAAAAATAATTATCAAATTCACAGTAATATTAAATTTATGAAATAAATTTCTAATTGATAAGAAAAAAATTGTGTATTATTATTAAGTTTATTTTTTATAATTTTTATTAAATATTTAATCAATTATTTATACTTATAGACTCCTTAACATATCCCAGTTGAACTACACAGTTACTTTAATTAAAATTATGGAAATTGATCAATATATCTATTTTTTTAATTTTATAAAAAAGTTAATTTAAGTTTAAAATTCTTTTTTAATATTATATTCGAATGATATATATATATATATATATATATATATATATCATGTATGAATAAAATATTGATTAAATATTTTTGAAAGTGTAGAAATAAAACTATTTTTATTTTTCTGTTATATAAATGAAAATTCCATTTTTCTATTAATTAGTTATAATTCTTTTATTTTTAATTTAAAATTAAAAAAGTGAATTCCAGCATAAATAGGAAAGAAAATTTTAAAAGAAGACGTGGCATGATTTTTTTCTAAGGGGTACAAAGGATTTGTATTCTTAAATCTCACTTAAAAAAACAGAAACTCTTCACTACAATCTTCTTTTTTATGAGAGTGTATTCTAATTTGTGACATTCATTTAGGAAAAACTTGCAGAAATCCAGTTGGGTTGTTTATACATATTGTTTTGGATGGGTACTGAGATAAGTAAAGAAACTGTGTTGCTGAAAGACAGGAACTGTAATAATAGAGAGGGCACTGCTTGTTGTACACTTGTCTAGAGATTTAAATACGTCTGTTATAACAACAAAGGCCTCCTACGAAACCAAGTTGTAATTGAAGTTGTTTGTTTCCTTTTGATCTGCAGATGAACATAGTCCGAGAAACAACCATATATACAACACGGAGTTCCACTCGATGCCTGGAACAATCATGGCATGTTTTTGAGAAGAAGCCTGAATCAAGTTAAGGCATTGGAGAAGAATTTCAGGTCCAAAACAAGAGAGCAAAGTGAAACTAGATCAAGAGCTTGCCTTGTATCTAATGAGTGCTATTACTATCATTGTAGGTATCGTGATTCTTATATACCGACCGTTATTCTGATAACATGTCATTATTTAAATCCCTGAACATAACAATGAATCTCTCCATAACAACCTATCAACCTCACCACCATGTGAAGATGGAAGAACCCAATTTCTTCACTGCAGATGATAAAGCTTGCAACTTCTTTTCGGATGAGTAAGCTCCGAGTCTTGGTGTTGTCCTAAACAATGGAGTTAAAGGGTACTGATGTAGCTGGTCAAAGGGCGCTAACGTAGTAAAAAAAAATGTCAATTCAGTTATTCAGATTTTTTTTGGACTGCAATAAAGATATTGAGTGTCCTATTTGTTATAAAATAATAACATCAATGACCATTTAGTTATTTTTGAAATTTTAATACTGAAAACAGAAAACCAATTTTTAATAAGTCATATAAACTTATTATAAAACTTTCTACTGAACTAATATCACGAATTAATTAAACACTGGTTAATTAAAAATCGTAAAAAAATGTCTAGTAGTTGCTTCCATACCAAGTTGATATCATGCGCTTAAGTTTTGTTTTTATTTATTTTTTAAATAGGAACAACATTACTCACAATAAATAACTTTATTTTTATTTTCTAATGTTTGCTTGAGCTAGCCAAACACCAGTTAGTCCATCAAGCTTCTATGGACGCCAGTCCTTGGCCTTGACCCCGAGGAATGCCGAGGTCTCTCGATAGCTTTGTACATAACTGCCAGGTACATCGAGAGACTGAATCAAGATTAGATAATGGAAGAGGCTGGTTAAGTCATCTAACTTCAAAGTTAACCGAGACTAAACAAAAAAATTTCAAGGGGCAGTGTCACTCCCACTGCCTTGCTAGCTTCGTCACTGAGTACATCATCGTTTCAATTACAACTGAGAATAACAAACACTATGACGACAGAATCGGAGCGATCGAGCGGGAAAGAAATGGTGCACCTGTCTATAAACCGTAGAATCGCCATACGATTTTCTTAATTCAACCACATACAATAATGGACTTATCTCAAACACCTGACAGTGACATATTTATACCAACAATGATCAATAGAGGTGCTGGAGCTTGGTTGTGCAAATTTCTACGAAAGAAACTGCTGCAATCACACACATTCCGACATCGTTATCCTGGTATCCGGATTCGGATCAAGTATCCTTCTTATCATGTTCCGAGCACCAGATGACAACCATTTAGGAATCCATCCCCTTTGCAAATCTGAAATTTCACTAGAGAGGATTAGATATCGGAGTTCACAACATAGTAGAAATCACCAACTACGGCCCTCGAATACCTTCTGATAGAGAACAGCAAGATTCCGATCATCGAAAGAGAGATAACCGGTGAGAATTACGTATAAGATGACGCCGCATGACCATATGTCTGAGGTGGCACCATTATACCCTCTATTAGCAAAAATCTCTGGTGCAACATAGTTAGGACTTCCACATGTTGTATGCAGTAAGCCATCCTCCTGATATTTCGAATCGAATTCAAAACCAGAACATAAAATCATTTTCTTTTTCATGAATTTCATGTCTAAAGGAGTACTATACCCGAATATGTCGAGGCAATGCACTGAGGCCAAAATCAGATATCTTTATGTTGCTATTTGCATCGATAAGTACATTTTCGAGCTGAAACATAGAAATAACAGATTTTAGCAGATTAACTTCATGAAATTCATATATCATGTTTGATTTTTGCTTTAACATGTCGAAAGACATGAAAATGACCTTGAGATCCCTGTGGAAAACACCTTGGTCATGGCAGTAACCGACACCGTCAATTAGTTGCTGGAAGAACTTCCTTCCTTCAGCTTCCCTTTGGAGGCCTTTGAATTGTGATATCAGAAGCAGCTAAAGAACGCAACTAAATTTATTGTTATTGCAGAAGAAACCCTGCCAGAAATTCGAGTCACTTACAATTTTGTCAAACAATTCCCATCCGGTTGCATATTCTAGGACCATGTAAATTTTGGTTTTGCTTGCCAAGACCTGCAAGTTTAAAGTGAAGGCATCAGTAGAGTCATTAGCTGAATGTTCAACTTAGCTAGAGGTAAGAATGCACAAACACAACACACACACACACGGTGAAAAGCTAAAACTCCGACGATCAGACCGAGTTTTTCATGCTCGAATTGTCTTTAATTTGCTAATCTCAAGTCTCACTCCCTAAGAATACAGCGGATAGTGATGAATTAACCGAAAACTCGAAGCTTAAAAGCTGGCCTAGGCACATTCAGGAGTTTATAGTAGTTATCGGAAGATACAACTCAAAATCAAGTTCAGCTACTCCATTTGCACTAAAACCTTGTCTCTCTCGTTGTTTACGGTTTTCGTTATTTAATTTTTCTCGGAGAAAACACCTCAATTCTCAGTTTCCGTTCCCGAAATCACGTGAAATCGAGCAGTGGCATGTGGGACTCAATTGATGTGGCCATGGAGCACAAAGAGTGATTCAGAGCAAGGCCAGGCCAACATAACCAGAAATGGCCCCCATACTCATGAATAACACCAAACCAGATTTATGGTCTCAATTCACTGTGACACACCTACTTCACGTTCAGAAGCATAATAATCCGAGACATCTATATATATATATATATATATATGAAAATATCTGTGGGGTGAGAGGTGGCAACCGGTGTGAGAACTTTTGAACCGTACTTTTTTTGGTACAATTATGCTTGCAGTCCAAGTACTCTTTTGACTTTCAAAATTTAATCCCTCTACTTGTCTACTTTAAAAACAGAGTCTAGTCTAATTGATAACAGATATTCAAATTTAACCGAAGTCGAATAACTCAATTCTTGTAACTAAAAGTAGAGGGAACAAATTCCAGAAGTACGAAAAACAAAAACCGGATCGACATAAATTGTCCTTTCCTAGATAAATTATATCTTTCAAGTTTAAATCTTTATCATGATTATCCAGATAATTAAGCATGAGTACTATGCTTAAAACATTGGTTCAGCGGATAATAACAATAAGTGTAATTATGTATTTAGTACTCACATATTCCCGCAGTTCCATTTTGGTCACTCAACTAGTTTTTTCCCTTCAAAATCATACCTAACGTCGTGTTTTGGCTCCATTTTGGTCGAACTGCTGGCGTCGTAATTTTTTTTTAATTTTTTCAATGATGACATGATAATACCTTAAGGATACGTATCAACAATTTTGTTTATTTTCTAACTACAAGTGATCAAAACTGAACCAACAAATAACGTTAGGTACGATTTTAAACAAAAATATAGTGAAGTGACAAAAACGGAACCTCAAGATTAGTTGGGTGACCTAATACGTGGTTTAGTCTAACAAGAAAGCAATGAAAGCACAATAGTAACAATAATAGTTCTAATTTGCGCCTAGTCCCTCTACTCTCAAGACATACAAAATTGAGTCCCTCTATTCTAATCACAGCAATTTAGTCTACTGGTACAGGGACTTGGAGCATGATTAAAAACTAAAACAATACCTCATGTAAACGAACCACATTGGGGTGTTTGAGCAGCTTCAAGGTGGAGATTTCTATCTTTATCTGCAAAAAAAAGAAAAAAAGAAAAAGATTAAAGAAATGGAGAACCCATTGAAGAAGAGAGTATGTGAATTTGAAAAGAAATAGGGGGAGACCTGATCGGTGATGTTGAGTTGAATGAGCCTGGATTTGTCGATGATCTTAACAGCAAAAGGGAGAGATGAATGGAGATTCTTAGCCAATTTAACTTTGGCGAAGTTTCCTTCTCGTAGAGTTCTCCCTAACTCGTAATTCCCCAGCTTCAGTATCTTCTACTCCTCCTCCTCTGTTGTTATTCTCTTGCTGCTGCTTATTCGCTCCTCCACCTTGTTTCATCTCTTTATCTCAATCACCTCATAGATAACAGCGTAACAATATATTCGTGTGTATATACAAGTATAATGGATTCGGAATGCGTCGAATTAGAAATTTTAAATTCATATATATTTTATGTATTATTTATATTTTTATTGATGAATTAATTCTGTAATTTCAAGATTTTGTAATTTGGCATCTCTTAATTTCCTAGTATAATCAAGTACATACTCTCATGTGTAGTCCCAAAGAGACGAATAGAATAATAAAAGATTTAGGGTAAATTATGTATTTCGTCTCTATTTATCATTTTGATTTATCTAATTAAACAATATAATTATTTTTTTAAATCACACCTAACGTTATGTTTTGATCATCTGTCGTTAAAAAATAAACAGAACTATCGATATGACATTTTTTGTTTTTCTATCATAATGTGATATTATCTTATGATGATATATCAATTGTATCATTTATTTTTAATGGTGGTTGACTAAAACGGAATCAAAACGTAACTTTATGTATTATTTTGTAAAATAGAATAGTCGGTGACCAAAACTAAAGAAAATTATAGTTTAGTGACTAGGTACATAGTTTACCAAAAATTTAATAGTAGATCCTATATGAACACCAAAAGAAATGATAAAACAAAAGATTTGATGTCAAATCTTAACAACATGATGATACCCTCGTCTTCAAATCTATTAGGTTATCCTTGTCCTAATGTTGTTTAATTTGAGGTTGAGATTAACTTTCCATTTAAGAAAAATAAAGGGGTCAAATTTTGGTTTTGGTCTATGCACTATGATCACAACTGGAATATAGTTATCATATTGTAATCCAACATAACTCCATCTATTTATTTTTATAATGATGGATTAGTCTAATAATTAATATCATTAACTGCTTCGATATTACATTATCGAAATGGTCAAAAGTACAAATTAAGGGACTAATTTGGGGGGGGGGGAATTAAAGGCCAGATTAGAAAGTATTATCAAATTCAGAGATTAAAAGTTAATTTATTCCAAAAACAAATAACCAATTTAATTTAATTTAAAAACCAGCTGTGGAGTAATTAATGCAATGAAAAGCAATAGAGTGCAAGTCTTATAAAGTATAATGCGTATACTTTTTGGGATTATTAATGCGTGCCGTGTATATATATATATATACTGAATAGTATGTGTAATATAATTTAATTAAATACGTAACAGTAGTAGTTTAGACAATATAATCAATCTACGCTAGTAGATTCATTTATGATTATATGTAATTTGTTTCTATATAATTTAAATTTTAACTTATAAATTTGTTTATTTATTTTAATAGTTTAAGATCATTATAATATAATATTTATTAAGAATTTTTTAAATTATTGTTAAAGATATAATTTTTTAACCATTAAAATAGATTTATGGTTCAAACCTATAAATTATTTTAAAATCTGAATTTATTTATTATTTTAAATTCGATCATTACTATTTGACTTGAAATTTTATAATAAAATTAATAGATTTGTTCAATTTAATTATAAAATTTCTTCATGCGCTACTCAAGGCTCACAATTTTCCACCAATGATGTCACTATGTTGGTCATCAATCGTTTCTGCTTCCTTCCACCGCCGCCACGCACGGCTTCGTCGTCACATGGTTTGTGGAGGTAAAGCTTTGACACGTGACATTTTCACATTTTACTTTTTTTGGGTATTTCATGCCACAATTTCTTAAACTAAAATACAACTTAAAAAAATCACAGTAGAAGATAGGGTAAACTACAAATTTCATACTCCTCTATTGCTTTTATTCTGTTTTGATCACACAATTATTTTTTAAAAATCATACAATATGTAATTACTAAAATTTGAAATAATGTCATATTATCACTGAAAATTTTAAAATATTACATTAATAGTTTTATTAATTTTTTAATAATATATGATCAAAATAAATTCAAATATAACATTTGATATGATTTAAAAAAACATAATTGATTAACCAAAACAAAACAAAAATAATAATTAAGATATTAAACGTACAATTTATCATATAAAATGATAAAATGTATAATTATATTAATTTTTATTAATTGTCAAACGTTAAGATACTTTTTATCCTAAAATAAAATATTAAAAAGGTAAAATCCTCCGTAGAAAGAATAGGGGATGTCACATGATAAACATGAAAGAAATATTGGATAATCATTCAAACATTAAAAAGCCATAATAAATTGAATCGATTTTAACTTTGTTCTCAAATTGACGAATAAGTAATTTGATCCATGAAAAAAACCTAATGACATCATCTTAATTAATCAATGTTTAATACACCAAATTAAATAACAATGGAAAAGAATGGTTATTTTCAGATCAAATTCAATGTTTCCCTTTCCTACTTGAATAGCTTTGCTTCTTAAATAATCGTCAAAAGTACAACATGTGCAAAGGTGAGGAACATCCTTGAATTGAACAAGGAAGTAGAGGATACACCAATGTAATTTATAAAACATACCCGAGGCCGAGGGTGTGTCGGTTTAAGTCTCAAAGAAACGAAGCTCCACCATGAATTCTTGATGCTTTGGGGAGTACCAAGCAACCGCCTTTGCGGCAAAAAGGACGTGCAATGCATATTCGATTGCAAACACCGGCTGGTCTGCCTGTATGTGCCACCTTTTGTCCTTGAAATCAATTAAGACTCCCGAATCAACTCTAAAACTGAAAGGTCCAGCAATCTGTAATGAAAATAACAAATAATGAAACTTGCTGCTCAAAACTCGGCTCAAGCAAATCCAATACTAATATCTAAAGCTCAAGATCCACTTGAAATAAAATCGAGCTATTTAAACTTCGCTTGATTGAGCTCGTTGACACAAGTTATACACTCAAACTCAAGTTCAAGCACGTTCTCTCTACTATTTTTTAATATAAAAATATTAAAGAAACATTTACAAATAAAAAGCTCGATTAGGCTTGCAAGCTGCTCAAATAGAGTATTAAGATACTCAAACTCGGTTCGCTTGATAGCTTGACCTGGGACTTGGATAGCTTATGAGAACAATTGTACAAGTGGCTCATTTACATCCTTATTCTAACTTTCCAAACTATGCATGAAAGTCAAAGTACTATCACAAAAATAGCAGAAAAATACTACCTTGGCTTCAGCTGCCATTCTTTTTAACATCCTAAATCAGTATGACAAGAATTATTTCAAAAGAAGTACCTGCTGCTGAAGTGAAAGGGTGGTCGTAGGGAAGATAGTTTTAATTGCTTTGGAACTAGGCTGGCGCGAATTCAAAAGATCTTGAGCTAATTGTGTGGCACCTGAAAGGAATTTAGAACCAGAAGGGAAATCCATGCGAGCCTGAAATCTTGTAAGATCAGAAAATAGCCGTTGGAAGTTCCCATGCTGGGCTGTAAATGACATGGATGCAAATATATCCCCTAGAAGGGAAGATTTTAGAGGTGGATGATGCAACGATAACTGCTTAATATCTTTAGCTTCGTCAACTAATCTTGCTGAATTTTCCCCAAAATTCGCACTCAAAGCAGCGCCTATGCATATAAAACAATGATATTTTATTATTTTCACAAAAGCTGCAGTCATAACTATGGAACCATTCATGATCCGAACAAGCAACTATAGTGCTGGAACAAGATGTCAATATCATATTTAAAACATGAATTATAATTAACTAAACATCTAGGTTACAACAAGTTCAGGGAGTCTTCAGGCTACTTTTTGTTAAATCTTACCAATGGTTCCCGATGCTGAAACATGGGGATCTGAAAGGAAAATGTCATAAGGTTGAACCATCTTGAGTTTCAGAGCTTGGCTCTTCCAAATGTCAACATTCTTCTTGTAAGAAAAGGCACATTTAGCAGAAAAACCGGGAAGTAGAGATGCGGGGACTTGTGCAACGGGGTCACATTGAAATTGCTTCGGTGACCCATGGTTATGGTGTAGGCACAAATGATAAATTGGACCAGAATCTGAAGGAAGAGAAGCCAAATCAAGTGCCATGGAGAAGGGTACATCCCAGTAATCACCAGTCTCTTTGTCCAAAAAGAGAGCTGGCCAAGCTGCATCTACTGTCAAATTATGTTGCGGAAACTGCCATAGAATCAAAGCATACATGTTTTCTACTTAGTATATTGTAGTAGCAGGGAATATAGGTCTAATTATCAATTTCAACCCTAAAAATGAGAAGTTAGTCCCTCTATTTTAATTCGTCGGAAATCTGTGTGAAAAACGAGAAGTTAAATCATTAACCTAACAAAATTCAGAAGTCCGACAATTTATATGCACAGAAAAGAAAATAGAAACCTTAATTCTAAACCCAAAAGTTTTGGCCAGTTTAAGAATGAAAAATGTATACAACTTAAAACATGCTACTGATTCATGATCATCTCCTCTGACTAAACCCTAACCCTTTCAATTTTAGAATCCCTATCTCCAACAGTTTAGAAATTTATATGCAGTAAAAGCCAGTAGTTCATGTGTATACCAACAAATGAACATACTTCCAATTTTCCAGGAAAAACATCAAATTCTGATAAATTAAAGTAGGGGGACTAACTTCTAAATTTAGGTGAAATTCATAATTAGACCAGTAATTAATCAGAGCGAAGGCAAAATAGCACTAGCCTTATGACAGTAAACTGCTTTCTTTCCGGGAATGGAGGGGTTGTGAGCATAATATGAATCAGAGCTAAAGTATAAAGTGTCATCAGGGGTTAATAGGACCTCAGAAGAGAATCCAAGAGCATACAAGGACTTGTCGAGAAGAAGCCTCCCGACCGATTTGAGGTCGCGCATAGACATGGCAGCTCCTCTATTTTCCTTTAAAGATGACAAAACTTGCGCAGGTTGAACTGGCCTAGCAGAAGGGAAGACCAATTCTCACTAAAAGGAATGCTCAAAACTCGCTGTAGAGTGATGCCAAAGTGATTGGTGTAGGAGGGAAGAAAAGGGGCGGCCATGAACCGCTGCATGAAATCAATCTGATTCGGCCTTGAAAGTCTGGTCCCTCTTGATAAACCCAACGGTAAAGCCTTCCCAGGGACAGCACGAGCCACTCCTTCAAGGGTCCGAGGTGTGGAGGCATCCAATTCCCAAAAATCGCCATCGCTTGCCCATCGGAGCTTCTTCATTGGCCCCTCGGTAAAAACCCAGAAAATAAAATAGAAACCCTAATACTAAAACCCAAAAGTTATGGCCACTTGGCCAGTTAAAACACTTGCTCCTGGTAATGCTACTGACTCATGATGAGTTTCTCTGTCTAAACCCTAACCCTTTCAATTTTGAAATTGCGGCAGTAATTTCCCACTTCCAACCCTCGCATTTATTTTACTTTGTTCTACTAAAAAGCAACAACAGAATTTTATTTTAAAAAAACTAGAAATCAAGTGAATTGCATTTGAAAGTATCAAATACGGATCTAAACACAAAAACCCTAGTAACTACGCTGCATTGCTCTAATGGGCTACGAAATTTTTTACGTAATTACAATAATAATTAACAAAAATGATCCAAGAAAAATAAAAGAGATGGTGTGAAACAATTTATCTCGTCAATGGTGGATTCAGAGTTGAAAGGTAGAGAAGATAGACCTTGGATCATAGGACAAATTGGCAATCGGCCGTTTCTTCATATCATTGGCCCTTTAGTTTTTCGGATCCAACTGATCCTACCCATATCCAAATTATTTTTCGTATAATTTCTACATAAAATAAAGACTAAATTATTTCAAATATCACTGAATTTTATCAACTGACTCATTTATATCACTAAATTTTTAATTTTATTAACTATAGTATTAAATTTTAGTTTTACATTCAATTATATTTCTATGTCGTTAAGTCACTAATAAGATAATAACATGACTAATGATTACTGACGTAGCCTGTCACACCAAAACATCGTTGTTTTGATGCCTAAAAGAATATTGTCTTTATCAAATGGTTATTTTAGACCAGTGACGGAGCCACAGCTTACTCAGGGTGGGCATGTGCTCACCATGAAATTCGAATTTTCTTCAATTAATTACTTATTTTACTGATGGTGCCCACCCTAAATTTTTTTATGTCTACCCTTGAATCTGAGTTTTCTTCGATTAGTTACTTATTTTATAATCAGTGTCACCCTGAAATTTTATTTGTAGTCATTCTATTAAAAAAAAAATTATTAACATATGTGTGCCCGTCCTTAAAAATATTTCTAGATCTGCCACTGTTTTGGACCATATTCTTTTTTTTAAAGCATTTTGATCTCAATATTTCATTTTAAGGTAAAAATGCCTCTAAAATTTTTATTAAAATAGCCACTTTGACCCTTATTTTTTTAACCCTCAACATTTCATTTTAAGCTTACAAAACTTTACTTTAGAGCGTTAATTCTGTTTGTGTGTTAACTACAAGTCTTGAACTATAGAGAGACTCTTTGGTCCTAAAATAAAATGTTATAAGCCAAAAATGATCCAAAAAAAAGAAAAGTGAATAAAATGACGATTTTAATAAACGTTAGAGGTTAATTTTAATATTAACTCTTTATTTATCTATTTGAACATACATGTCCATTTCTATGATTTTGGTGGCCCTCGGGCGAACTAAAAATTAGGTCTCTAATCAAGGATTTAAATTACAATTTGTATTTATGTCTTCGATCGTGTTTCATTTATCGATATTGCAAACATAACGAATGGTATTGCAATCGCTGCAAATATTGTGGTTGTGACTTTTTTAATAACATATGCTATTGTGGATATCATAGTTTTGGACAATATCATTACTATTGCAAAACGATCATTGTTATGGTTACATACTGTTATTTAAGTAATTGTTCTTAATAACAATTGTTGATTTTTTAAGAGTAACTTCATAATAACAATTATTGAAAAACATGGGTCTCTAATAAATAAATAAATTTTAGGAGTATATTCAAAATAACAAGTATTGAAAAAAATTAGACCTTTAATTAAAAATACTAAAAAATTGGACTCATAATAACAAATAAATATTAGCAAAAAGATTAAGTTTTAAAAGTATGCCCTTAATAATAAATATTGAGAAAAATTAGGCACCTGATAATAAATATTGAAAAAATTGGACCTCTAATAACAAATGTTAAAAAAAATTGGACAGTAACACAAATGTTAGAAAAAAATAAATTAAAAGACTAGGCCTACAATAATAAATATTAGAAAAATTTGAGTTCGTAATAATAAATATTGAGAAAAAATTGAACTCTTATTAACAAGTATTAAAAACAAATTCAACCTATTTAACATAAAATCATTTTTCAAGTATAAAAAATTATGGGCCTTGGGCAAGTGCCCCTCCTGCTCAAACCCAAATACAATCCTACGTACATGAGGATAGATAAAATACGGTTGGAATGAATATATGTACATGAAACAAAACAAGCTTACATCTAGGGATGGAGGCTGTAAACAAGCCAAATGAATATCGAGAGTATGTTTATGTTCGTTCGTTTAACTTTAATCGAATAAATGAATAGACACGAACAACTAAACAAATGAAATTTCTTGTGTATGTTTGTTCATTAAGAAATTTAACTTGTTCATGTTTGTTCATTTAAATGATAAATGAACATAAATGAACGAACGTAAACATACTCAAACGAATGAACAAAAAATTATTTGGGTTTATATTTGAGAAGAGTTTTTTCTTTGCAAATAATTTTAGGATTTATATATTTTTTAAATTGATTTGGATATTTTCTATTTGAGTTTAAAATTAATGGAGTTTAGAAATATTAATGGGTTTAAGGTTAAAATTTATTAATTCTTGTTATTTCAAACGGGTCTGGAGAACATAAACGACGAACATAAATAAACAAACATAAACGACGAACATAAATAAACAAACATAAACGAACATTTTGTTCGAATTCATTCATTTAATTAAATGAACATAAAATTTTGTTTATGTTTATTCGTTTAATAAATAAACGAACATAAACAAAATTCTCGTCAAATCTATAAAATTTTAAAATGATAAAAATAAAAATTATATATATATAAATTTAAATTTTTTTTATGAAGGCAACTGTCATCGCCCGCTTCTGTATGCATCATGTTTACATCCCATCCATATTCATCACCTTGGCCCAGATAACATAGAAGGCAAAACTATAGAAGATAAGGTCTCTGCAGCTTCAGGTGGCAATCCGTTCGGAAAATCTTCATTTATGTTACCTACAACATCAATCGACCCCTCCAACTGCTTCATCACGGCGGACATGGAAGGCCTCTTGCCATATTCAGTTTGCAAACACCACGCCGCAACCTTCATAATCTCCACGACTTCCAACGCATTCGACTACATATCGTCGCTCCGCTTGTCGACCAACTCCACGAGCTGTCCTTCCTCTAGCTTCCTCTTCAACAGTTCCAGTAAATGCCGGTCGTTCTCTTGTCGAGATCCATCGATGTTTCGTCGACCGCATAGGATCTCGAAGCTATAGACATCGGCTTTCTCGGTTATGACGGAGATGAACCATTCGGGAGCCATGTAACCCGGGGTTCCCCGCATGGTTGTAATGACTTGACTCTGGTCTTTTCTTATCATTGTCGATAATTTGGCGTTGAAGTTCTCGTCTAAAAGGATGTTTTCGGGTTTGATGTCTAAGTGAATTATCTTCTGGTTGCAATCTTGATGAAGGTAGGATAGTCCTTTGGCTATGTCAAAGATGATATTCTTCATAGTTTGCCAACCAAGAGCAAGGTCGACGTTGAAGACCCATCAGTCTAGCGAACCATTCGCCATGCATGTGCTCGTAAACTAAAAGCCTGTTGAACTTTTCGGCACAAAATCCAATCAAACTTACCAAGTTGAAATGGTGGATGTTCCCGATTGTCTGGACTTGGGCTATGAAAGACTAGTTAACCGGACCAAAGCCATCGAGATGCTTCACCGCCACATCGGAACCCGAAGGTAGTGTTCCTCGGAAAAACCGACCCGAATCCACCTTCACCGAGCTTGTTGATGCTCTTCAACTCTTCGTAAGAGAATAATCAAAGCCCCTGAAACAACTACAAAAATGAAAGCCGAGATAATCAGAGAATAAAGTTGAACAAGTATGCCCACAATAATCGATGTGATGAGTAGAACGATAAGTGTGGTAAGTAGAAAGTAGCAACGTGCTTTCATCTCATTCATCGTTGCTCTGGACAATTGGTTTGCAGGGAAAGAGTAAATAAGCTGCAACAATTAATGGCGTCAAACTTGACTAAGCCTAGAGTATATTCATGCTACCTTGTCGTGAATGTTCTTCTTTTTCAGAAACCAACAAGGTACATGCAAAAATCAGGCGAATATCGACAATTTTCTTTGGGAAACATATGGCTATATGTACTTGTCAGAATTGAATCACACTTATATGTGTGAACACATTTTTTTCGTCCTGGTACAATACTCTCACCAATCTTGATTTAGTGGGATTCAGAAAACAAACATAGCATTAGAGTTTTACTAGGATTCAAACTCCTAAAAATATGATAGAGTTTTATTAGGATTCAAACTTCTAAAAATAGAATCCAGAAACATTATAAATAGCCATTGTAACTCACTATTGTAATACAAGATTTACATACAAAATACAGAGAAAAACATGAGACCACATTCCAGAATCTGAAACACAAAACACCCAGTATGCTACTGCTTCACACGATCTCAAGACATTTAAATCTAAGTCCGGTGTTACACTAGTGGTGCAAAAACAAGCAAGAAGAAGCGCTAAGGATTTGTAGCTGAGCTGAATACACGGACTTTAATTTCCGTTTGCAGTTCGAAAGGTTTTTTTTAATTGCTTTTGTTGTTTTGGAACATGTTTGTTTGCAGAATTTTATAACTAAATGGGTATTAAATGCCTTTGAACAATGAGTTGGATAACCCCATGATATGCAATGAACGAATTATTTTTTTTTCTTCTGTTTTATAAAATACCAACGCTGACTGTTTTGAAATTGATGAGTTATATATTTGTTGTGTTTATTTCACATGTTGGTGTTTCTTATGTTCATTTGTCATAATAAATATGAATTAGGAAATGATAATACATTATTTATTTTTTATTTATTTTATTATTATTATTATTATTATTATTATTATTTATTCATTTTTTTTCTTTTTGTTTAGCATATAATATTTTATTTTGTCATCTACCATTTTGTTTATTTTTTCTTCGGTAGTAATTTCAACCGAAGATAAATAATTTGAATCGGGTTTTTAAATTTCAATTTTCGCAATTAAAGACAACCAGAAAATTAATTGGTACCGAAAGGGCAGTTCAAGGGTGCTAATCATTCCTTGACCGTAACCGACTCCCGAACCCGACACGTTTCTGGTACAACGCATATCAGGTAAGATGGTGTCCGACCCACCTAAATTCATTTTAAAGTGGTCGGTGACGACTCTAACCCCAATTCATTCACGTCGAAGCCCAATTTCGGAGCCCAACTGAAAGACGGTTGCGACAGCTTGGCGACTGGTAAGTGAATCAGGCTAAGGTAATTTTCAGTTGTCTTTTTAACGAAAATGGTAAATTTAAATTTTAAGGTAGCATTTCGATCCTTATTGCTTACTTTTGATTATATTTTCGAGTAAATAGTTGTACTAACCGTTTTCTAATGATTTCAGCCTTCAAAGTTTGTTTCTCACTTAAGGCTCTAAACCCGAGCTCTAAACCCTATTTAAGTAGGGGTAAAAGCGACGCTTTCGTGTGAATTTATTCACCGCACATGCCTAGCAAGTAGCCTTCGAGATTCATATACCTTATGTTTTCGTGTGAATTTATTCACCGTGCAGGCATAAGGAAATGTTTCCTCTCGAGTTTAACTTAGTCCATACAAGCTTGTAATGGGCTTAGGACTAAGGGTCTGACAAGCCCAAGGGGGCACCAGTAAGGAGAACTCGAGTACCTTTTTAGAACCTAAACCGGGAGATTACAAGGAATTAGAGCCCACCCCAAAAATTCATTCCAAACCCTAGGCTGCTTTGATTTTATTTCATGCTTTACTTTCTGTTCAAAGCATGCGAACTAGACAAATATGCGGTTAGGATTTGTTTGAAATTAGCATGCGGGATAAAGATCATGTTCGGGCAGGAATAATAAGCATGTGGGGTAGGATTTTTCATTTTTTGTTTTGATTTACCTCACTAACTCTTTATTTTTGTTCTCTTTTATTTTAAGTTTCATCATTAAAAAAGAGGTGTTGATCCAAAAAAAACGTGTTCGTTAAACGTAAATAATTCATATTAATGGACAAAGGGGTTGTAATACAAGAGGTGGAAAATGCAGGAGTCTGGCTATAGTCAGAAAAGACTGAGAAAGAAAAGAAGAAAAATCTGCAAGGCAACTATGTGTCACATTCGATCAAGAAGACGTGGTGCCCACAATCAAGTATATCACAGGTCAACTTTTCAAAAATAGGTTGAAAAATGTGGCAGGGGCAAGACGAGAAAAAAGTTACTGACCTCGAGAGTCCCTTCAAAGACAACAAGAACAATATGACAAAACGATAACTGAATTGGAAGCCATTGTCGACAAATTCAAGAAACAATCGAATGAACTTAAGATAATCCCTTTGATGGACGATTTCAATGGTGTTTCCGTTATAGAACAGATTCAGCAAAGGATGAAAGCTAGAGATGCAGTCATTCGATACTTCTGGGAACATGTACAAAAAGCAGCTCGTCACTTGCACGGTTTGGCCAGAGAAGTCGGAGCGGTTCGGCAGGGTATTCGACCGGTGACAGATGAATGGATAAGACTAGTCAACTTGTTTCTGGTTTAAAAGATTTAGTCAGGATGTACCTTTAAATATGTTTGTTATCTCTTAAAAGATAAAAACACTTTTGTCCCAATAAGGATTATTTATAATAACAGTCATATTTTCGGATCAATGCCTCAAACATTTCATGCATTTTTGCATTTTGCATCTACATTTCATTTTTAAGTATTTTCATAGCCATGAAATTTCTTCATGGAGGATTCGATGGAGTGTTCTTAACACGTGACACCACATGAAAGCAATATTTTAACAATTAAAAGAAAAAATTGAAATCAGTACAGTGGGAGCGTAATCAGTTGATTATAGTACTAAGCCGGCCAGTATGATCTGAGAAAAAAGTCCACATATCCTAAGGGCTACAATGTTGAAGTTGTTTGCAGTTACCATATAGGAAGCTTCGGACATTCATCTAAGAACTGTGAGTGCAAGATCCAAAACCTGATGGATTCAGGGGTATAGATAGTCGGAGAAGGGGGCATGACATTTACCGTTTGCATTGAGAGCATTGTTTTGTATGAACACGCTTTTGATCTTTCATGTTTGTTTAATCTTTTAAATAATTGAATTTATGCTACTTTCTAAGGTGGAGCAATTGAACAAATTTTAATCTTTAGTTCTTCGAATATTAAATGAATTAAGGATTCTTTTAATTCTTCAAGAATTATAGATTTTTGACATATGGCAAAATTAGACCTTTTCTTATTCTGTCTCAAACCCCAAAATAAAATACCTTGATTCTTTACCCAAAATAACTCATGATCATTACCAAAAAGACCAAATTTTGACATTACCTCCCTTTGAAATTTTTTAACAATGTCTTTATCTTTTTGATACACCCATATCTTTCTTTGAGTCAATAAATTCACACCGTTGTCTTTTTAGACTCAAAATTGACATTTTTATACCATTAAAACCCAAGGCATTGAGTTGTTCATTTGAACATGAGCATTCTTCTAAGACACAACTTGGGGCATCTCGTAGGGAGCCTGATCATTGAGACATGTTGGGGGCAAGAAGCAGAAAGAAGAATTCACTCGAAATAATTCTATCATGCATTAATTACACTGTTTTCATGTTAATAAAATTAATCCTGAAAATCTATCCCCCTAGGGATACCTCTTCTGTGAAAGCTTCCATGTATGAAATGATGAACGACTTTCTTTCTTTACCCCTTCACAACAGGAGAAAAATATATATCCCTTGTGTCCCCTTTTGAGCCTATAGTATTTTTCTTCTGATTCAACCCTAACCAAGGATCACCCTCCACACTGGAGGGCAAGGTGGAGAAAATCTGCTCGTACGAGTGAAGATATTAATTCAGATGAGATACCGAAAGGTAAACCAAATGCCAAGTACGAAGATTCAATCAAGGACAAAAAGAGAAAAAAGCAAAGAGAAAATAAAAAGAGAAAAACAAAGGAAAATTGAAGAAAAAATAAGACAAGATGCATATGCAAAGATTCTCTCGATTCAAACGACGCATCGAGATTCAAACTATGAGATTGATCAAGCACAATCATTTCTGAAACACTGAATCACTCCACTCTAAGATCATAGAGCATCAAGAGAGAGACACATACGAGCAGATTCAAATTGAGCAAGATATGATTGAAGACATCAAAATGAATTGATCATTGGTTCAATCACCCTTAAACACTTGTTTAAGCCTTTTATCCCTTACTTTCATAACCATGAACCATGACATATGTTACGTGCCTTAAAAGTCCTTTCTAATCATACATGGATTTCTAAACAGAAGAGACTATCTTCAGATTTCATCCCGCTCATCAGGATTAATCTTTATTTGTAAAAACCAGTGTAATTAATGTATGATACAGAAAAATAACAAAGGGGGGTTCAAGACGTAAATTATGAATGACGTCTTGAAACCAAAGGAGAATTCGAGTTGAA